TCAAATTTTACTGCTAAGTTTTTGAAAATGAGAATGAAACAGGAGACAAGATAAAGGTGGCATTGACTTCCTGGGTATATTCCCCATTCTGGCCACAGATTTTGGAAGCCTGGGAAATGTCTTGCTGCCAACTCTACCACAGTTTTTCCCGATTTTATAGGGGAATTAGCAGACTTTCAAGAAGGCCTACTTGGCAGTGTTCAGTTTCTTTTTTAGTGATGAGAAATACATTGTTCTTCCTGCCCAGCATATTCATTATGTTATGCCTCTGTGCCATAGTCAGATTTGGGAGCTATTGCAGTTAAAATGTTTCCTCGGTAAAGAGCTGGCCTAGTCAACTAAACAGGACTCAGAAACTGGGTCTCAGCACACTCTGGATTACTGTCATTGTCTTTTCCCCTTCAGGAGAAGATATTTTTTAATTTGGTGAAAAACTGGCTACCAGAGATAGCCAACTGACTTAGATTATAACTGCAGGAAACACTATTCTACAGGAAATTTATTCTTATCTGGTGGACTTGACAACAGACATCAGGAAATGAAACAACTCATAAAAAGGCTAAATGGACATCAGTTTGCAATTGAGAAGTTGGTCAGATTTTTTTCCAAAAACAACCAGAACAAACTTAGCAAAAAGGGAATATCAAAACCTACTACCACTCTTACTAATTGTTCCATGTATATTGTGATTGAAGCACTATCAAAGTTACTGTTAAACACATCCTTACTGTTCTATCCCTGTTTGCTGTAGGGTGACAGGAATATTTTAATCATTGTGTCCTTGTAGAAATGAAGAAATTATTTTCCTTTATTACCTTTTGGAAGAGCAGTGTTTCCACTAGAAATTCTCAACAAGGCAGTGCTTACTGGTGTCATTAAATAAAGCAAAAATATTACTCTGTCACAGGCTTCAACGCTTCTAAATCTGTGTTGCTCACTAAAAGGAATATAAAAAGGAGCTAATATTTTCTATGCAAGCAATAAATATTGTCTGTCTGACATGCTCACATTAACAATATCAATTGACTTTATATTATTCAAATGGCCTCTAGCAATTTTCATTTCAGCTTTCCTTCTCTTAAGGAGGAAAACATTTTGGGGGTGGAGAAGCTTATTATGGAGAAAGCTACATTTTAACAAGTCATTTCATTCCCACATCAATGTTAAATTTTTGCTTAGATTTTTAAAACATTGAATGGACTTTAATTGGTATGTCAGGTTTTTTCCCATTTTTTGTAGCATTCTGCTAACAATGGAGAAAGGATTTTGATGTCTATTGTGTAGAACAACTGTGAGATCTGTTGTTTGCTTCTGAGAAAGAAAAAGCAAATGGCTTCTAGCTAGTGACAGATTTTACATTTCATTGTTTTAGTTGGCCGGGAAAAGCCTATGGGAACATCTGCAGCACCCAAACAAGAGAAGAAAGACTTCAGAGAATCTCAATTTCAAACAATAAGAGCCCAGGAGCCAGTACCCCAGAGGCCTTCAACTCCCCCACCCTCAAGTAAGTGACAGTTTACAAACCAGCTGTGGTACATGTTTTATGTTTGTCCTGTGAGTGTCTTTGCAGAGAAGATTCCTTCCTTACCTCAGGAAGCACAGTGAGAGGCTTTTCTAGATTACTGAATTACACACACAAACACACTACATAAAATATATTGCCAGTTACTCTTTTTCTAAAAGGAGCATTGGAATGTGATTTACTGATAAGGCAAAAATCAGCAGGTTGAGTAACTTGCTAAATAACTTCATTTAAAAAAAATTAATTAGTAATCTATTGATTGAATATTTCAGTGGAAATTAAGAGGTTGATATGGTGCAGAACCCTATCTAAAGCTCACTGAAAGAATGGAATATTTCTCATTTATGCTCTCACACTCATGTTTTCTGCTTTGTGGTTCACTGGAGGAAAGAGGAAGGTTTTGATGCATTGCATGCTAGATTTATACCTATGTTTTGCCAGGCAGAAGTTAGATAATCAATTTTTTGGTCATGCTTCTGGAGTCATGGTCTAGCAAATGTGTTTTTCTAGAATAAAATGCTTTCTCATTAGGTAGAGAAGTTGCAAAAATGGTCTAAGACAAGAATTTTTGGGATATTCAGCATCCTGGTAACCAAACCAAGGAACTAGACAACTAAACAAAACAGGGACTGACATATCTCCTAAAGAGTAGGGATGATCATGCTTGATTCCTGCATCTCTTATTTCAATGTATCCAAAGACCCTGATAGTCTGAATTGTGTCATATCACCATAGAAAGCAGGTGGGGTAAATGGAAATTACTGAGCTGCAAACAACACATGGAGGCACATGCACATGGTGGAAAGATATTTGTTATTTTGAAAGAGCTTTAAAGACAAGATTGTATTGCAACTTCCAGTATGGGGACATGCCTACTCAGTTACAGGTATTTTCAAAGGCATTTATGTAGCAAATAATTCAGGTGGGTTGCTGATTTGATTTTGAACTTGATCCTCATGTGTACTGTTTTAAAATATACATGAAAAGTTTGGCTATGTGAACCAGACATCACATCTAGCGTCCTTGTTCATAGGGTATAATGGGAAGTATCAGGCAGGATTTTAATTAAATTCAGTTCAACCAAAGTATTCTGGTTAAATTCCAAGCATAGGCGAGAATCACTATAAATACTTAATTCTTTTTGGCAATATTTTTTTCCATTTTTAGCTCAAGATACCCAGTTTCTAATCTGTCAGACTTCATCTTGTATCATTGTGTCACAAAGCCTTCCCAAAGTGTGGTGGGCTGTCAGCAGATATTCTGTGTCTGAAACCCATGGCAACAATACACAAGCCATCAAACCTGTTTTCAAAGAAGCTGGATGTTTTTAGGGTTGGACACAAAGGATCCTTTTTTAGAAGCAATATCTGCCGTGAAATTGGTTACTTAGAGTCTATAGCACTTTGTAAGTAGTTTTTCTGGCATTCATAAATATAGATTCTGCTTATGGCACATGAATAGAAATATCAAAGTTACTCTGTCTTTCAAATAAAATGATAATTTTTTAGTAAGATACTTTCCACTCAACATGTCTTTTGACATGTACAGGTGAGCCTTGAGTTTTAAACTGATATTCATTAAATTCTCTTTTTCTCTTTTTCACTCCCAGTTAATATTTGGGAAAGGGTGTTACTTTTACTGAGTATACAATCCAGCAGTAGGCTTAGCAGGCAAACTCAGAGAAGATCAACTCTTAGGCTGACCAGACCCTCATTTTTATGTCTGTTTCTGCTAACTGGTAGATGTGTTTTGGTTTCTGTTTTTACACATAAAAATCGTTTGAGGATTCATTAAACTGAAAATCGGTACAAACAGCATTTGGGACTTCTCCCACTGCAGTGTGAGTGTTCCTCAAGAAACTTCTTTCACCCTACTGAGATGCTCTCAGGTCCCACCTGCCACTTAATAGCTCAGATGTCATTAGATTCCATGACACAAACGCATCCTGTGACCTTGGGAACACCTCTGTGGTTTGGTATTAACAACGTGCATCTCAGAAATGCTCTCTATAACCTCCACGTTCTTTTACTGTATGTCTAGTATTGTTAGTTGCTATTAATTTTTAAATGTATTTTATTTATAAGATACAAATAAATCTGATCTCATTTCCACCTCAGTTAACATTGGAAATGATGATACACACAGGTGTAATAAAAATACATCAACTTTATTGCCCAAATTTTTGCTCCAGAGATTGTTTATTCTGATGGTTCATTTTAAAAGTGTCACTCAGTCATATGGTCTTCTGAGACAAGATAATTTTCTTTTTGTGTTACGTTTAGGATAAGTAAGTAAATTTTTTAAAAAGTTATTTTTGTGAAATTGTGGGAAAGGTTCTGACTTCATCATTCTCATGCAGGCCTATTAGAATTAATTTTTGTCACAATAGATTTAGAGCATGGTGTCATGAAGTGTGTAAAATCCCATGAGTAATGCAGGGCAACCATCAAATCCTCTTTTCAGACTGGAATATTTTTAGCCTGTAGCAAATCAATGCTACCGATTTCCATTTGTAAGAAGAGCCAGTAATTTATGAGGCAAAAAGCATTTCAAGCCTGTGAATTGTTTGTACATTATAATTGTTCCAAGAGGTTGCAGTTTGAGGTTGCAGTAACTGTTTTGGGTAGCAACTGGCCAAGTGTGGAATTCTTGTCCTAAGCACATGAAGCAGCATGGGATTCCTTATGTTTCTTGACTACCTTTGCAATTTATGAACATTTTAATCTCTTTTCTGTAAGAAAGTTGTGGTTTTAGATAGCTGGAAGGAACTCTAGCTTTTAGAGTTACAGGTGAGAAGTTAAGTAACTACAGTTACAGAAAACGTTATAGTCAAGTTCTCAAAAATATTTATCATACCAAAGCAATTGCTTTGCTATAGTTCTGTTATTTCAGGCATTGAAAGACAAAAGTAATTAAGTTATTATTCAGGTAAACTCTAGATATTTGCCTCTTGCTTTATTTTCGGGGTGTGGATTTTCTTTTTCCTTTCAGAATAACTTGCTCTCAGTCATGATGAAGAATACAGTAAAACCAGCCATTATTATGACAGTAATGCCTATTCTAGATCACTATGACCATTCCTAAGTCATACTACTACTGTTAGACACACTGCTGTAAAAGTCATGCTACTACATTCCTGAATTTCTTAAAATTTGATTAACCAGATATTATAATCTTTACCAGTGCTAAATTTCATGTGATTCCGGAAGTCAGTCCTTATTTTTTATAGAACTTTGTATTGGATCCTAAGTCCTTTGGAATTTCTTGTGTAACTATTTCACATCAGTAACGATATCAATGCTAGTGGATCATAATTCAGTTTTGGTGCTTTAGTTACCATGTTGATTTAGATATAGGACCACCTGATGATCCAGCCACTGTATAATTCCTTTTGAATACAACTTTTAAGAATAAACTGCTGCTGGTGGTGACTGATAGCTTTTGCATCACTTGTTTTTCTGTCTGGTTTTGGTTTGATTTTGTTTGGTGAAGTGTTTGATTTTTTTTCCTTTGATGATGGTGTAATAAATGAAGGGAAAAGCTCCATCCAGAGAAACCCAGTACAGTATTTTAATCAAGCAAATAAAGAAGGAAAGCACTCTAATACCACTACATAACTTATGCAGTGCAGCAGAAACATCCACAGTGATGCACTGGGAATTCTTCAACAAATTCACGTTGGTGACATATTAAAAATTCTTTTTGCATTCACGTGGAAAGCGCTCATGTGAACAATTTGGGAATCCCTGGAGAACACAGTATATTGGCAATGTGTTGGTTCATCTTTTCAAATTTGGGGCTTATAAGTGCCTCCTGTATCAGAACATTCTATAAATTCCTGGCAGCAAGGATTTCCTCCTTTGGAGAGGGCTCGGTGGTCAGTGGTCCCATTATTGAAAAGTAGTGTTCTAGACTTCTGATGTTTGTAAATTCCACTTTGATTAAATTACTTAAAACTAAATTCCTTTACTGTAATAGAGTTTGGTTTTTCCTTATCTCCTGTGCAGAGGTGTCATTTGATGTCTCTGCATGTATGTGTATTTCTCTCAAGGGTAGATGGAAGATCACTAGGTGCTATTCTAAACTGAAGCTTATGTTTTATAAAATTATATTTGCTCAGCCATTAGAGCTGTGAAATTTATTCATAAAGTGTTACTGTGCTGCTATTGTCTCATTCATGCAGAGCATGCTTTAATCCAAATGATGGCACTGCATAAGTACAGTTGGGCAAGGTTATATTGAGATATTTTTTGATTTTTTTAACAGCACTTAGTTCATTTTTAACTTGAAGAAAATTATTTTCCTGATTTTTTTTTAAATTTGAAATGAAAATTGTTTGTATTCCCAGACATGTGATTTTGCTAATGATGTCCCAACACAAGGCATTGATTCAGGAGGAATTCTACTTGTTTCTAAATGTCAGACTAAGAAACCAGAAATGTCAATTCAATGGTCATAGTTCTGCACCATAGCATCCTTATTCTGCTCTAGAAAATGTACAAAGAATATGATGATAGCATGTGTGAGATAACTCGTTCTTTTCCAGCTGATTCTTGTAGCTCAACTAATCAGTACATTTTGGTCTAGACAAGAAACATAAATCAATCTTTTCAGACTATCTCACTTGCCATGAAAAAATACAGTCCCCCTGCTGTTATGGCCTCCTTATGTGCTGAAGTTACAACAGCAACTGGCAGCTTCATGTCAATTTTCATCTCCCACTAATGTTCTGTATTTCACAGAGGAAATGAGAAATCCCCAAGGTGGTGAGTGTCCCCTTCCTTCAGATGATGAATGGAAAGTGTCAATACTGACAGGAAATGCAGGAACTGAAGCAAGTGTTGCTCTTTGGATATATGGAGACAAAGGATTCACTGGACCAATAACTCTTGGCAAGGACAACAGGAAGCAGCTGTTTTTTCCCAGGCAGGAAGATGAATTTCAGGTAGTTAATGAAGGCTAAGAACATTATTTTAATAGGTGCCTTTGCAAGGATTTTCCTGTCTTGTGAAAAGAAAAAATTTTTAAAAGAAAAAAAGAAAAAATATTTACTGCATAAAATGAATCTGTATCTAATCTCCATCAATTCTGTGTTAAATCAGCTTGTTATTTATAGTAAGCAACAGAAGAAATTATCTTTCTTTTAAACCCCCTCCCTCATATAGAAGATCAAATGGGAAAACTGCAGAAGTAAATTGATTTATTTACGGCAATTGATTTGAAACTAGCTTTAAAAACTATTCATTCTGAAGCAAACCATGTCTGATATAAGACTTGCATATTGTTTAGGGATCTTTAGTAATTAAATTTTCAGGCATACAGTTTCCAAAGCATACTACAAAATGTATGCCGTGGAACTCATTCAATTAAAGAAGAAAACCCATTTTAGAGCTGCCATATTATAAGTGACTGAAATTCCAGAAATGTTTACCTATGGAATAACTAAAAGTCCAATGAAATCTATGTGTTATCATGTTGTGAAAACACAGGGTTTCTGCTTCTATTTAAGAAGAACCCCACCTCTATTTTAATAAGGAAATTAGGTCTAGGTAGGCTGAGAGGAAATTGCCAAAGGAGCTAACATTGCTGTCTTCAGTAGCTAAAGCAGAAGTTTCATTATTTTTTTCTGGACTCATCAACTCGTCCAATACAACCTTAGCACAATCCAAGATTGCTACTGTCAATGATATTAATAATAACAGTGCTCTCTATGAATAAGGCATAGGCATGGGGATAGCCTACCATAATGTTCATTTTCTAAGCATATAGGCTATAGATTATGATCCACAGGGAGTCCTATTCTTCTAATTAGTAAATAATTTATAAGCAATGTTGGATAATGGCATGTTTGCAAAGTTAATCCATATGCTCAGAAGAGATGGACCAATTTTTCTTTTCTAAAATGGATGTGACCCATTATGGCTGTGTGGTGCAGATATTGATCTTGTGAGAGAGCAGGATCTTTCTCTCAGCACTTGGGGCTACTACTAGGTTTTTTTACATCACATTGACACCATTGCTTTCAGGCATGAAACAGCAAATGTCACTAAAGTGCTTTTCACTCTTTAGTCTGCAGTGGATAAATCCACAAAGAAAAAGCCAGTGAGTAAGAGCTCTTTCTTCTCCTTTTCCCTTTAAACTTTATCCTGTACTTGTTTAACAGGATAGGTCTTGAAATGAGGATAGGAATTTAAGACATAAAAAAAGTTACATCATCTTCTTACCATTTCTGTCTTTGAACTTTTATGTTTTCACTGATATATTCTAGAAGAGAGGATACTGCATTTTATTTTTAAAGTAATCAACTCAATCATAGCTCTGGCCAGGAGTTCTAGGAAGAAAGCAGCTTCTGAAAGGCTGTAATAAATCCAGCAATTAGGAATCAGTTTAAAGTTCTTTAAGCTTTCATTTATCAGCAACATGTGCAACTGAAAATTTTGAGTAGAACTAACATAAGAGTTGAAAATCATTCATATATGGCCTTCTCTTTCTTACCTTACTCATGTGAGTTTTCATTTACTGTTTAACTGTTCCTGAGACCGTGCCTGAGAAAAATCAAGACTACCAGAGTGTTTCTTCTGGAAGACCTGTACTTGTTTTAGAGAAAAAAACACTCTTGCATTCTGACCCAGTATACTACATTTTGTTTTGTGTTGTGTGAAACACGACGTGAAATTATGTGCAACTTTTTTCTTTAACTAAAAGTCTGAAGACAAATTTTATTAGAATAAAGAGATGACATGATAGCCTTGTATATGCAGTGAATACCAGCTCTGTGAATGAGAAGCCCATACTCCATATCTCTTGAGAAGTAGGTTTGTGAAATGGGGGGAAAGACAATACCTGTTTCTTTTGCATTCAAGCTGAATATATGCCCATACTTTACTACTGCTTTAATCCCAAAGTCTCTAGGTTGCCTCCAATAAGATTACTTTTAGAGGGAAATATTATGCAGCATAAGCAAGGATGTGACTTGGCAGAGCAAAGCAAAGCAATTTTCTTAAGCCAATGGAAAAGAAGGAAACTATTCTGTCACATCAATGTTGCAAGGCTGGTGTTCACATTTCTTTGGTTAAAGGAATTCAGGTTGCTGTAACAAGTATACCAAAACAAATAATACGTGTGAAAGCCACAGATTCTGTCTCAAACAACCATTGTGAAATTTCACTGTGCATTTCAGCATTCAGGAAATCCAGAGTAAAAGTTTTTTTGCTTTTAGACATCTTTGACTAAAGCATAGCAACGCTGTGACTACAACATAAAATTTTCTTTCATAAAAGCACAAAGAGCCAAAAGCTGATACAGGAAATTAGGTAATTGTGACCTCTAAAATTACAAGAGTGCTTTCTGTTAATGAAGGCAAAGAATAAGTGGATAATATACTAGTAGGTGCTTCTAAGAGAATGAAAATAAGTTTTATACAATGTAAATAGCTTTTTGGATGTAAATGGTGGAAAGGATTAGGCTGTTACCAGTCTTTTATGGATGGCATTATTATTTGAGGAATAGCATAATAAAACACTTACTCTTCCTTTCCTAAAGGTACATTACAAATTATCTAAAATTATTTATGCTTGGTTTAAATAGTGATTAAACTTCAAATGAACCCTAGATAAGTGAGTTTTCATTTAAAGTTTTGAAGATAGGGTTGCATTTAGTAGTTTTTATAAGTAAGAGAGCACATAAAAGTGCAAATGAATGCAAATCATAGTCAGAAAGCAAAGATAGCATCAGTGGCTTCTGAAGTTTTGCAGATTTTCAGCTTTTGGGAGCTATTCTTTAAGGTCTCAGAAATTTTATATCCTTCATGCTGACATATTAGGGTTTGTGGTCATCTAACTGTGCAGATTTGTGACTAGTAGTCAGAGGATGCAATTTTGTTTAGAGGATGTAATTTTGTATTGCTCATTGCTCTAATGAACAGCCCTCACCAATTTTTTTACTCTTGAAACTTTGAAGAGTTCAAATAGCTGCCCAGTCATTCTCCTGGCAAGCATTGTGACTCCACTAGGCTGTGTTCTGCTCAGACTGGGGCTCAGACAATCATCTCCTTAGCCAAAACAGAGGCACTGTGTTTTCTGAATCCTGTAACCTCAAATCTGCCAACCAAATATTAGGCGTTGTTCCTGAACACTCAGATACTACAATGGTTCAGATAAATCTAGAATCAATTGCAAAGATAAAGATATGATTTTATGTAGTTATATACTGTACTGTTGTCACTTGATTCAGGTTAAAATAAACAGCATTGGGAATATCTACAAGATAAGAATTGAACTTGATGAATTACCAAATGAACAACCTGAGTGGAACTTACAAAGGGTGAGACTTTTATGGTGATTTTGTTCTCATTTTACTATTTTTTTTATGTGAAATAAAGGCCCGTCCTTTCATAAAGACAGAGGTTTATGAGTTAATAAATGCTGATTTGGATAAGTTCTTACTGAATTGTGTTCTTAAATTGCTTTAGAGGTGACAAAAACACTGATAAAATTCATCTCCTAAAGAATGGAAATGCAGGATTATTTTGCAATTATTTCTAATTCCTGAAGACAGCAATTTTATTGTATTGATGTGTTTGACCAAATTTTGCTTTGTGAAAATTTGCCATACTCTTTGGTGATTCTGTACTCTTCAGTGTTAGGGAGATTCTAGCTTTAAATTTCAGCTCTGAAAAATTGAAAATGATGGAGCAGCAATCCATTACAACAACTTGCAAGGAATGAACAAAGTTTACTGAAAGGTAAAATAAGTAAGTTATAATAGGCCCCACCATTCCTCATAATTATGAAAATTTTTAGGGGGGAAAAAAAAAAGCTTCTGGGTTTCTTTCAGTTTGGTGGTTTAATTCTTCTTCTTCTTTTTTTTTTGTTTTAATTCTATTTTTCTCTTCATATTTAGGGATGTTCATCAGACTAAATTTGTTCTAAATGCTTGCTAAAGCTGACACCAATGTAAAATTTATTTCAGAACTGGGATAAGAATTTTTTGCCTGTTTCTTGTGTTGAATTTGTAAAGGAAACAAGTTTATTCTTTTTCATTTGAGTAATTTTAAAAAGCTTGATTTAAACAATCAGAATTAGGCAATAATAGCAGATTTTTACATTAACCCAAACGTCTTAACTGAGACTGTAGTAAATCTGAATGTGAGTATAAATATTTCAGTTGCTCAAATGATTCAGGAATCCCACAGACTGGTGGCTACAAAACATTTCTTTAATATTTTGTTCCAAATTTCATAGGGCAAGCCAGGGATTTCAAAATCTTCATTTCACATCAACAAATAAATCATGTTGAAAGCTGTGTTTTTCTGAAGAAGCAGTTAATATATGCAATTGCTATGAATCAGTAGGGGGCTCTGCCAATAAATATTAGAGGTTAGGAATCAATGCTGCCAATATATTTCATGTTAGAATAAATATATGCTTTGGTGTTGAAAGCAGTGTTCATTTTACTTTAAATAATATTTTATTGGAAAAGTGAGATAAAGACATCTATTGCCCTGATTCCCTAAGTGTTAGAATTTGGATGTGAGTACTTGTTTTCAAAATTTTGTTTGCAAGACTTATGCATATTATATAAAATTTTTGATTTCCTTTTCTAGTCAAGACCTCTGGAAAACCCCTGTAGTAAGTATTGTAATTCAAGACAAACAAAACCTGCTTTCATAAAAGAGAATAAAGACTGCTGTAATTATAGGAAACAAGTAAGGCAGCTATCTCACTGTACAGCAGCAAATAATTCTAGAAATTGGAATTCTGACCATCCTATGGATATATTTATGGTGACGGTACACAGGTTGTTTTTTGTTTTGCTGTAGAAGAGCCAAAGATTACACAAATTGATATAAGATTCCAGTGTATCCTATATTTGTCAAAGTTCAGAAGGATGTAGATGATGAATTTCATCCTGTTTTCATTCTAAATTAAAAAATATGTGTTGCCCATTTTTCCACATCTTCCAAAAGCTCAGTGTCATGTAACAGCAGCTACCAGAAGGTTTTTGGCCTTCAGTCCTCCAGACACTGTTACATAGAGGGGGTTTATTCATTAAAACCAGGCTTGGTGACATTTCAAATGGTAAACACACAAATTTCAAATACAGATTTGTTTGTTGCATAGTAGTGGCCAAAATAAAAATATTTTCATACTGCGATTTTGTAGGTAATATTCACTGATTGTGTTAATATTTTCTGAGATAGAAGAAAAAAAGGTATGTACAAAAACATGTTTTGCTGTTGAGAAGCCAAACACTGGAACTGAGTTGGAATTACTTCTCCTTCAGGTGATACTGCAACATCTAAAGAGCAAGAAAACACTGAATTTTCCATCAAACACATGGTTATCAAGGAATCGTGATGATAGAGAATTTCTGTGTGAACTTCCAGTAGTGGAAGCTGGAAAACCTATCTATCCAAGTATGTGTGTACAGTTATTTATATATTGGCTACCTGTTTTTCAGTATTAATGCCAACCGAATTATGGTCCTAGCAATCTTAAAAGCAAATAGTTTGACTGATTTCTGGAGAGTATCTTTCAGAAAACTAATTGCAGATCAGACTTACTGTCATTGTTATCATTAAGCTATAATTAATAAAATTAATTGTGATTATATATGACTTGCATTTTCTTCTTTTGGTTATTTTTGGAAGTTGTTTTATACCATGTGTATATCCACACTGGTGACTTGGAGCAAGCTGATACAGACTCTGCAGTTTATTTGTGCATCTATGGAAAAAGAGGAGATTCTGGTCTAAGACTTCTGCATAAAACTGGTATACCAGTGTCATTTCAGAGAGGAATGGTAAGTTTTAGCCTTGTGAATTTAGTTAAGTAACTGTATACAGGTTATACAGATTCCTGATAATAATAATGAAGCAAACCACATAAGGTTAGTTAAATAACTTTTAAGAACTAAGGAAAATATTCATCTACTGACCCAGGAATTAATAGGATGAGTGAAAACATAGGCAGGAAAAGGGAAAGAAAAATTATTTGAGGGCCTCATCCTCAGATGGTGAGAAGAGCTGCCTATGAATTTAAAACATATCCTTTCAAAGTATGATGAGTTACAGCTGGGTCCAAAAGATTGCACAGAGATTTTTCCGTGATTTCAGATCTTAGTAGATCTGTTTGTTATGTATTTCTTTTAATGTATAATAGTAAAGTATTGTGATTAATATAGGAGAGACTTAAAGTAATTTTTCTTTCAATTTATTATCTTCTAGCTCTTCCAAAAGTAAAATACACATCATCCTGATTTTCTGCAGTATGGTTGAATTTCAGGAACTACTGAATTTAATGTTAACTTTTCCACTAGCCTTCTTGTGACCTTGTCTTGAGCCTGTTTCTTCCTTTGTGATCTATTGAGGATTAACTCTTGTATGTATAACCAGTGGTATCAAGCTCTTAGTGGAACACTTAATTACAAAATGAAAAGCAGTACCTAAAGTACTAAAAATAACCAAAACCCACTGGGAAACTTTAAATGTATCTATACTATTTTAAAATGTATATTTTATGCTGTTACTAATGTATGAGAGATAAAGTTCTATTCAAATTCAAATGCAGAATTTAAGTGGAATTTTCTGTGGGGCATTATTCTAGCTAAATTGATAGTCAGTTCAGCATATTATTTACATAGGGGCTAAGGGGAATGGTTCAAAGTACACTTTGTTATGGAAATGGGTGAATAAGACAGTGGGTTGTTTGGAGCAGCAGAGCAGCGACTGGGATATATCATTTTATGGCAGAGACAGTTGGAATGCTGACTTGAACAACTTGATTTCATCCCTGCCACAGATATTTTCCATTATATTGGGCAAATTGCTTAAAATAAAACTTTCCTGAGTGACCATATTTTTCATGCTTATGTATTGCTGCATAACCAGTTTAAGTTTTCTGAACAACCATAGCTGTAACTGAGTTCAAATAGAATTCTGCTCTGCACCTAGTAAGCTCTTTGAAATGCTAAATATTTCAGTAAATTAACCCCTCTGTTTCTCAGTCGAGCACCCATATCACTTTGCATCTTTGACAGCTTTTGGCAGCAAACTCTGTGCTTTAACTATGTAGGTAAATTGAAATATTATGCAGATGGCCTTTCAAAAAAGAGATTAAGCAGTTGCAGAAAGCCAGGGTGCTATGGGAGAAGTGCAAAGGTGAAGTCACTGGGGAAATCAGTTCTATTTCACTGAGCTCTTTGGGTGGTTGCAGTAAATAATGCATAGAGTCATAAAGATAATGAAGATAAAAAGAGATACTGAAAATCTGTCGTCCTCCTGAGCACACTTTGAGGCAGGAATCTTCCAGAGAGACTAGCTTGTGATCATATATTATCTATACACAAGGGATAAGTAATCGTGCACAGGCAGTCTCAATTCTGCCATTTGCTGAGGACCGAGAACTTTACAGATATGAATTTTCCAGTGTATTTCTACCCTTTATTTTCTTTTTACTGAGAAGAATGATCTGGACCATTACATTTAGAGAAAGAAAGCTGTATGCCTTTTACTGGGACAAAAAATTATCAACCTGAACAGCTTCATGCTTCTATGAAAATAATATTTTCCAACTATAAGCACAAGCCTAAATTAATAAGGAGAGAATGCCATGTCAGATTTCAATTTATTTCAGTAGAATAAAATGTAAGTAGAGGAGGTGAAACCAAAAAGAGAAAATGATGAGAAGATCTGTTTTAAAGTAATATCAACAAAGGGAATAACAGCTTTAAGTCTTTCTCACCTAGAGAAATGTGAATGGCAAGGTATTGAAACAACACTAAGGGGTTGTGTGAGGCATTTAGGATCATGGATGTAAAAGCCCAATTTATTTGGGATTATTACTGCATCCTGATTTTGGCTGTGTTTTCTTATTTACTGTGACACTTCAACAAAAGACATTTAACTCTTCAGATCCAAACTCTTTGAGTACAGTCCAGCTGTCACTGAAACCCAATTGAAATCTTGGTACATTGTGGGAGTTGATCAGGCTTTTAAGCCACTTCAGTTTTTGGAGTACCTTATTGGTAGCAAACTGCAGAGTGCTGTCTCCCCTGCCTTGCAGGTCAGTGTTTTTGAAGTGGAAGCTGTATCTCTTGGGAAGCTGCAGAAGGTGCTGTTGCGCTGTGAGGCCACTACCAAGTCCCAGCATTGGTACTGTGATAAAGTAATTGTCAGAGAAGCTGAGAACAACTCAGAATATGTTTTCAATTGTGAAAGGTAGTTTTTACAACAACATTCTTAAATATTCTTCAATATGTGTCGGTAAAAGTAGTATATCAATTGATGTGCTAAATCTGAGTTTTTCAGGCAAAGACATGTTTTGATTATTTCACAGTTTCATAAAATCCACAAAATGTGTTGTTCCAGAACAGATTGCTTGAATTAATCTTCTGTATAGTCTGTAGCAAAGGTTAAACACTTATATTGAGTCTGTGTTACTAGATTTTAGAGTACAGCCTTATCTTACAGGATCAGTGCTGTAAGCATGATTTACCTTTCAGTGAGGAAAGATAAAGCACCTGAAACGTTCTAAATTAGGTGTATTTCTAAACGGGAAAGAAACCAGGTTTTCCATCCAGGACATTATGTCATCCAGCATTCACTCTCTTTACAGCACAACCAGAGAGACAAATACAATGCCCAGAAATATTCTGTAGATGTTCCATTTCAGTTATTAAATGAGCATCTTAACAGTCAATTGATAAATAGTTCATTTTGCATTTTTAGAAAAATATGGTAATCTCACATTTGGAGTGTCCAGTTTACAGTCTCTCTCATGGGTATATAGGCATGACTCAAGTGAAATAAAGAAAGTGAAGAGAAACAATATGACTATGTGACAAGGCACTATAGTAAATAAAATTTAATTAATTATATTTAATAAATGCACATTGCCTAGTTACTTTGTCTGGATTTTAATGAATATATTACATAACCTTGAACAGCTTCTTCCAATTCTTGGTGTCACATCCTCAAAAACAGGAATAAAGATATTTTCTCACCATGGTTAACCCTCTAAATCTGAGATTTTTCTTCAACCAGCAAGATGCTTATAAATAGTAATTTAAAATAGAATTTCTGTGAGTAGATTTGGATGTGGACCAGCTGTTGTTGCTAGCCTTAGATGCTACCTTTTAAAAAAGATATAGGTGAAATTTTCTTTGTATCATAACCATCTCTAGTGAGCAACATGGCTCAGGAATGATGAAGAGCAGGGCACTTTGCTGTGTTAATTCTGTGATAATTAACACTAGATATTTATTATTCTGTGATAGAGAGTGTTAAAAAGGAGCAAGTGTTTCTTTTTTAATGTCTAACTCCTCTACAAGGAAACCCTTCAACTGAAAAGGGATTAAAATAAGTCAGTGCTGGAGGTCAGGTATAGCTTCCATGTTTGCCAAAATGTACCTGTGCTCTATTCAAGGAAGGAGAAGGTTTTTGCTCTTCAGAAATCTAAATCAGTAATGTTTAGTCTTATATTTATTTTATTTTACATAGCTATTTCATGATCTAGGACATGAAAAAGTTCTTTGTTCTCATTTAGCCAAGAGTGCATAAGCATTTTATCTGTCTTAAAAACCTGGTATTAGTTTCTGAATGTCTAACAGCTTCTACTCTATTTCAATTATACAGTATTTACTAGTTACTGATACCTTTTAGTATCTGGGATTCCAGAAGATATCTGTACCATCAGTTTTTAGCAGGAGTGATAAAAATAAGTAGTTCAATAAGAGAAAACTTATTTATTCGGGAGTAGCTCTTATATAAATTGGCCAAGTAATGTTTTCAAGACAAAAAATAGAAAACTTTGTAAGTTGCTCTGGGCTTTTCTTGCCCAGCTTGTACTGGAATCCCAACAGGCTTCATAGGAGACTGAATGATTTAGGTCATTCCTGGAGAGTCCATGGAAGTAGACTGAGGAAATAAAAAACTATAGCCCAAAAAGATTGCTGCATTTCTTTTCTCGTAAAAAAAGAGCTGATTTTTTACCACGCAAGATGAAACAAAAACTGTTGGTAATCCATGTTCTGAATGAAAAGTTTTCAAAGGTACACATGGGCTAGGGTAACATGACTAGGAAACCTAAACTCATTTACCTGTCCTCAATTTATAAGAGGAATAAGAAAAAGAAGTGTATGGTTCTATCTTTGTATTTAACACTGAACTGTTTTAAGAAAGTTTTAAGAAATATTGCAATAGGTATGTACAAATTATACATACCTCTCAATCCATAGTACTGAAAAAGTGGTCTGTGCTATATTCTTCTTCTTAGCTACAGAAACAAGTACTATGGTGCCATATGAGTCTCTTAATCTGATACAAGAATATTTTACACCTATGTAACTCCTACTTTTGCAAGAAAAAGTTTATTTGTTGAGTCAAATAATTTCTACTGTAACATAAATCAAATACTAAAATTTTAGGGGTAGAGACCCTTTGCTGTTAGGTGTATTCAGTATGAAAATCAGATATGGACCATTCAGTTATATGATAATATAAATAAAAATTGATTCCTACCTGTGTTCTTATTTTCTTTCTTAGGTGGCTTCCATTTGTGTCTCAAGGTATAATCCATTCAGAAATTGAGCTGTACCCTCAAGGTAAGATTTATTGTAACTTTATGGAAGTAAGAGCAATAATTAGTAGCCCTTTTCCTCTGAAGAAATCTGGGCAGATTTTTGCTGTAAATATCAGAGTTAACTTATTTTGCAGTTTTCTTTACTATATTTCTGAGAGAACATGATTTATACAATTGCTATAGATGATAGTGAGAAAGTAAGAGGGGAATGAATGAGAAAGTTTTCTTGTATTGGCTAGAAAAACTGAATGTCTTTTTTGATCTCTTCTTTCAAACCTTTTCTGTTTTATTAATATTAAAGGAAATATCCTTAATTAATAGATTTTTGTTTTGCAGAGTTTGAAAAAAATCAGCAGCCTGAAATGCAAGAAGCAAATGGTAAATGCTGCTCTTGTTTCCTAATTTTAATGAAGACTGTTTCTGTTTCAAAACTAATTGCTTTACACATTTGTTGCCACTTGTATTTATTTTAAAACATTAATTATAGTACACTATTTGAACATTTCAGCAAACTCTGAACTTCACATTTTAATTTAATAAATAACTTTTTTAATGCTTTCTTTTTATTGTCATTTTTCTTTCCATAATATTATTTTTCTTTCTGCTTCTTTGAAAAATTCTTATTTTTCTAGTACTTATTGGTGATTTATCTTAATTTTAGGTTTTTTTATGGTTAACATTTTAAAACATGATTCTTTTTCATGGCCTATATATAGTTTTGTTCTCAACAATAATTTTTCATTTTCTGTTTTATTTGTGAATTCATATTTGTTCAGGTTGACTTTTCTGTCCTGGCAACCAGAGCAGATAAAATTTAATTCCTTAATAACACATTAGAATTTCTCAGGTATGAGAAGTGCTTCATGCTGCAGGATGAACAATGACCTAGGAGGCATTGTGAGAAAGTTTGAAAATGTTTATTCAAAATTTGTTGTATAAATCAAAATATCCATGAAGACCCAAATACCTTGTCCTAAACCTTGTTCCTATGGCATGTAGTTAATGATAAAATTTTTGCCCAGTTATTTTAGAAAATATATGAAAATCCTACCCTGCTATAGACTTTCTTTTGAGTCACAAGCATCTTTGTCCTTCTTGCTTTCTAAGCTTTATTCTAAGCAGGCAGGAATTTTCTCTCTGTTCATCACTCTTTGTGCTTTATCTGTTCCTCACACCTTGCTTTTGCATGGCCTGCCCTGAGAGATGCTCTTTTCCTTAATTCAAATTGGTCTGCTTAGTCCTTTCTGCACCCACAGCAGGGTCTCTGGGCTGTGTCATTTGAGCTGTGCAAAAGTCTCAATCAGAGTAAAGCAGCCAAAAGTGTGTGCCTGTAATGGCCTCTTGTTTGAGACACTTGGTAAAACATGGATCAGTGGGAAAGAGACTTGGAATTGTGAGATCTGCTCCAATTCCTGTTTTAGTGGCTGATCTGAGAGTTTGTTCACTTACCCTTTTCCCCCCATGAATTTTCTTTCAAATTTTCTTTCTGTATCACTTTTTTAAAAAAACCCAGAATTATTTTCCTAGTGTATTGTAATGTTTCTAATAATATAGGAAATAAAAACAAAAAAAAAAAGGAAAAAAAAGAACATGTCTAGACAGTCATCTGTGGCAAGATACCACTTTCTCATGTCCCCAGGACCCCAGGTGAGAGATTACACTTTTCCTCTATGGATGCTAAATGAAAGTTTTGTCATAACACCTTTATCTCTATTCTTTACCTCTCAAAGTGTGCTCCTCTTCAGTCCTTAAGGAACTGTTGGTACTCCACCTCATCAGAACAACCCAGCTTTTTATGCCAACAAGAATTATATTTTTGTACTACTCACTGTTTCCCTTTTCTATTTGGAAGCATGCAATGCAGTGCAATGAGGATTTCTGGCATAAGAAGGATTAGAAATTTAAGGACTCTTTTCCTATGCTCACATTGTTTTGCAAACACAAGCCCTTTCTATTTCCAGAAAAAAGGAACAAGCCTCAAAGTCAATACAAAAGAGTTCAAAACAAAACTCTTCTTAATGATATTTTTGGGGAAGTCTTTACCATCAGAGGGGTAGTTGTGTGCAAAGCAGTTTATTGATACCAAGCTTATACTTGGGAGGTAGGAGCTGAACTAGCTAGAAAATACAGCCTCAATATTAGCAACTGCATCATTTCAGAACCCCATTGCTTAACAAAAGACAGAGTCTGAGAGGGTAATACAATAGAAAGGGCCATCAAAACCACTTGAGGCACAATTAATCAATGAACACGTCAAAAAGAAAAAACCTTTTACCTGCTTTAAAGTGAGTATTTGTTTCTGAATGATGTTTGAAATTTTAGGAGAAGTAGTGGGTCATTTTTTTTCTCTTGTCTGCACCATTCTTCATAAACCCTTGTAAATGGAATTGTCCTCGTTTTCCAGTCAAATGGTTCAAAGGAACTTAGTCTTTAGGAAATGATAATTTTATTGTTTGAAAATGCAAAAAGGCTGAATTTTTTGTAAAGAAGCTTTTTCTATGGAGCAGGGAGCCTTCGCCTTATGCTATTTGTTTCCACCATCAGTGTATAGAGGCTTTTCACTCTTCTAATTCATGTTTATCCTTTTGTTTTCTGGTGCTACAGTTCTTTTGTCAAGAAAGTGAGTCTATAGAGAAAGCTGTGAAGAGAAGATGCAGATTTTCAAAGGCACAAAAGATTTTCTTACAAGCTGGAGTCTGACAATTCTTAATTAAAATTAGATGGTTCACTTCCTTTATGGAATTGTAGAATAGTTTGGGTTGGAAAAAATCTTTAAAGATATCTAGTACAGCCCCTGACGTGGATAGGGACATCTTCCACTAGACCAGGTTTCTCAAAACCCCATCCAACCTGGCTTCAAACACTTCCGGAGATGGGACATCCACAGTTTCTTTGGACAACCTGTTCCAGTGTCTTACAATCCTTACAGTAAAAAAAAATAAATTCTCATGTCTTATCTAAATCTACCCTCTTTCACTTTAAAACCATTCCTCTTTGACGTATCGCTACATGTCCTTGTAAAAAGTCTTTGCTTTTCTTTTAAGCCCCCTAATATATTGAAAGGCTGTAAATAAGGTCAGCCTGACTGGAACCTTCTCTTCTCCAAGCGGAAGAACCTTTTGTCACAGGAGAGGAGCTCCAGCCCCTAATCAATTTTATGGCCCTCTCTGTGCCTGTTTCAACAGGTCCACATCCTTCTTTTGTTGGGGAACCCAGGGCTGGATGCATCCCTCTAGGTGGGGTCTCATCAGAGCAGAGTACAAGGGAACAATTCCTGCCCTCGGTCCCTGGCCCGGGTTTGATTAGACAGAACAAACAAGCCGTTGCTGCTTTTTGAATTCCCAGCTGTGTATTTATGTCCATTTAAAATTCTATCACCTTCCCAAACTGGACATCAGCCAGACCTCTAAAGACTTGGAAAGCAGGAAATCAAACTTCCTGCTCCAGTTCAATTTATGTGGGGCAAATTACTGAGTGATAATGAGGCTGGTCCAAGATAAATACTTCTGTCAGACAACAGATTCAAATCATGCAGTCATTACCAGACAGATTTCTGCTAAGAAAACTGCAGTGTAGGCTATGGCATTTATTTATAAGATGACCGTGGGGTGGTATTTCATTTGTTGTTTTCCATGAACAGAATGAATATAAGTCACTATGTGGAACTTGTTTTACACAGACAAAAGTTGCAATCCATGAGGGGTGGAGAAGCGTGCAATCCCATCTTTTCAGATGTAGAAATGCTTTTTACAATTATGAATTGTTCTTTTTTAAAATAAGATTTATATTAAGCTGCTTTTGAATGTTTAAATAATGTGTACATTGTATGGGAGCAGAGATGGCATTTTAGTGTCAGGGAGCTTTATATAAAATGATTTTCTAATGAGTCTTAATCTAGTTCACACTACAAAACCTTTTTTTTTCATGCTGATTTCAATATCATGCTCCCATCCAGGCAACTTTCTTGATGTATCACATCAACCTAAAATGAGAGGAAATTGTGCTTAATCGGGATGCTTTGACATTTTTCCAGTTGCATTTCTTGGTTATACTGTTGTCATAATCCAAATTCTAGATGGTGGTCTGCTTCTGTGTTGACCCTCGGGGTTACTACTAGAAATCTCACTTATCTCTCTGATCATTTTGCTGGTTTAGTGCAGTGTAAACCTGCTTGATCCTTGACCCATAACTTGCTTAAAATGAGTTTGAATGATGAAGTATTTTGCCAATCCTGTGTTGCCTCTTCTGACATTATCTTTTAGGCACATTATAGTCAGAGTCCTTGGGCCAAGCTGTGCTTTCATTTATATCTTTCAAGTAAACTGCTTCGTATAAGTAACATTATTTCAAGTATTTTAATATTTTTTTTTCTTTACAGAAGGAGACTGGAAGATAACTGTAGTCACTGGGGATTTTGAAACAGCTGGCACGACAGCAACAGTATTCCTTTATGCTTATGGAGAAAACAAAGCTTCTGGTCCTATTATTTTGGGATCTGGGAAACAGCAGCTGTTTAATCCCAACAGTGAAGATACATTTAAGGTATAGTATGGCTGTTATATAAACACTAGAGAATTCAAAACAAATGAAAAGTAACTCTTCTCAAAAATAGATATTAGAGGTAGTAAAAAAGACTCAAAGAAACATGTAAGGATGATTAGGTATTTCCGAGGGAGCAGCTGATTTTTACGACCATGAGTTTTGAATCAGGAAATGTGTTCACAACGGACATGTCTCTCAGAATCTGCTTCATACTTGCATCTTTTTGATGTTCTAGTTTATACTAGATGTTCATTTGAAGAAATAAAAAGAACTTTCTTTGCATTTATATATTAAGATAGTCTTGGTTATGGTTTGTGTTGCATATCCATCTTCAGAAGGGTCCACTGTAATTCTTCCACAAACTTCCTCAGACTTCCACTAAAGCACTCTTGTATGAACTTTTGCTTGGAGAAAATCAGAAGGAAAAGAGGATTGTGGCAGCTAGAAACTAGAGGTAAATCACATATATTAACTCATGTGATTTAAACTACTGCTGTCTTGTTTCTCCAAGCAAATGGAGATATTTCTTTCTGCTGACAAAAAAGTCTTAGAGATGTGCTTCAGAAACATGACATTTCTCAGGACTTCTACAAGATTCTATAATTCCATCCATTTTCTCTAGTTCATGCAGTTCCTTGGTCAGAACTCTACCTGTAGCAGTAGTTAAATCTGTGATATGTCACTTAGGTTAAATAATTAATGTATAATGAACAGATGATGGGGCATCAAGTGACAGATGGGACAAAAAAGTATCTTTTGATACCTAAATCAGCCAGACAATAACTTTCTAGCACAGTTTTTTTAAAAGGAAGTCTTAACTGATGCAGGGTGCTGGAAGAGAGCAGCATAATATAGTGGAAACAAATAAAACACAGTCATGCCTCACAAAAACAATCAAAATACCATATAGTTTCAAAATCTCTGTAGTCACACATGCAACCATAAGGAATCACAGAGAAATGGCTCACAAAAAGAGAATGTGACTAAACTGTACTGGATTGTTTTAAAAATCAGGAATAGTAGTCTGATAGCACAGTTAACTGTGTAGTAACTTGGATACCTGAAAGTACATAATGAATACTCAATATAGTTAAATATAATTAAAAAAGAAAGTTAATAAAACCTGAGTAAATCAGCTGGCACTCTTTTATAGGGCCCTGAGATTTCATTCTAGAACTTAATTTTATTGTTACTTCTATTACTTTATATAGCAAGTGTAACTTCATTAACCTTGGTTATCTCTGATTAAGGTTTGCGTAAATGCAATTAAAAACTTGCCAGAGTCCCTTGTAATGCAGGTATAATGTAACAAGTCTACTATCTTTGGAGATTTCCATGAAATTCATTGAAGGTAATTTACAATTGTGTGGTGGGGAGAGTTCTTGTTTCTGACTGGAGTTGTGGGTTCCAGGTTTCCACAAGAGAGTAATACATACTCTGCACAACATTTGCTCTTGTGGCTTAGAAGTTTTTCCTACCAAATGGGTACGTCAAGGATAAACAATGCAGGAACAGGAAAAAACAAAATTTAAATCTGATGGATTTCCTTTTCTGCTCTGAATTGTTCCTATGTGTTCAAAGAAACTACTTCTGGGCTGTGTTTTTCTGCTTCTGTTACTGTTCAGGCATAGTTTTTAGGGCATAATTTTTCTGTTGAGAGTCATTCCTTCTCCAGTAGAGGAATATCAATCTACCACAAGTTACAGCTTTCATCACAACTCTTATCTGTTTCCTGCATCTTCCTCTGGTGTCATCACAGTCCCTGAGTATTTCTCAGTATTTCAAAAATACTGATTTTGGCAGAATGTTGGGTTGCTCAAGACACTAGAGCTTTAATTATATTGTAAATTATATTCTCTGGAGCCCTGTATTCTGCATCATCATTCTTTGAAACATGCTGAATTATCTCTTATGACTGTATGCACTGTTTGATAAAGAAATTCTTTTTAAAAGTATTCTTTTAATGTTTGGTCATGCCAAATATTCCCTTCTGTGTCAAAGAGAACTAAGCACAAGACTGTAAGCCTATTATCTTCTGTAAAAGCCAGCTGCAATCTCTCAATTTTTATTACTTCCATACATAATAATTCCATACCTTCGGGTACAAGTTCTGCTGGTCTAGTAATAATGAAGTCAGTAAAAACATTGACTGGTTCAGTAGATCTGCTTTCAAAATACTGCTTGCCTTAGTGACAGTGGCTGGACCTAGCATTTCCCTAATAAGACTTTTTCCATTATTTCCTTTGTGAATTTGCTTCATTATCAGCTCTTCAATTGCTTTAAGACAGTGTTGTTCTTAAGAATCTCAACACATTGTCAATTTTGAAAAAAATAGCACAATATTGAACTACTAAAAGTGCTGGAATTTTTCCTAAGAAGTCTTCAAAATCTCCAGTTTAAATTAGGTTATATTTTGTGGTTGGTGGCTGTCTTTGTAAGGAAGGTAGCTGTTCCATGTTTGCAAGTACAGAACATGAAGTATGCATGGTATTTTAGGAGCATTGAAAACACATCCCTGGTGTGAATTTTGCTGCATGAGCTCATTTTTCTAACTTTTAAAGCTGGTGCCACATGCATTTACATGATTTAGAGTTTCTTCATCTGTATAAACAATCCTTTAAATGCTCTGTGGTCTAGGGCAAATACCTGAAAGTAACACAGGGAGATGAAAAGAAGGATTCCTATAATACTTGAGGAAATACTTAATACCATAAAACTTAATAAATAGTGCTCCTATGATGAGACTGTTAAAGTGTTAAATGCAGCCATTTTCCTTCTACTTCCTCTTTACTTTGTCAAGAGTTGTGTTCATCAGGTGAATGCTCATGCTGTACTGTATCTCAAGAATGTGTTACACTTAGAACTTGATCTGTTGTTTATCATTTTGGTTTCCTCCTGTTCAAATAAAATTATCAGTCATTTTAAATAACCTATACATGAATAATTAAAACTCATTTCTTTAGAATGATCTACAGACTCTTAAGAATCTGCTGTGTGTCATTGTGAGTCTTTCTTTCCTGTACTCTGGATCCATAGTCATTCTTTCATCGGTTAAAACTGAGATCTCCAAAGTAAAATGAGAAGCAGTGAGAAGAAAACTAAATGTTGTAAAAATAGCTTGAAACAAATCCATTTTCATGCTTTTGCTCGTGATGTTCAAATAAAAGAGGCTGAAATGAGTTCAGAATCCTTCTAGAGTGGAAAGATTGCAAAAGTGAACATAAGCACTAATGTAACTATCTGCAATCTTAACCATGGGACTGACAATGCCTAAAAGCTGGACGTTGCTTGTGTCTTGCTGTTTTCCAGCTGTCCCTGTTTTCCATAAAGACCATTTAGGTCCAGAAGCAGTTGAATAAAACTTAGAGAAGCCCAGGCTTTAGTCAGATCTGCTTAAGGCAGCATAAAAGTGTCATACTCATGACTGTTAGTCCACTTGGAAATGTCACTGTCTGTGAAGTGCATATGATAACAAGATGAACCTTGTCCGTTAGTGAGATAAAAGGGAGAAGTACGTAAAATTATCTTCATCAGCTATGGGCTGTGCATTAAAAAAATTAGCTTGTTCCAAGAAACAACACAGGATTGTAAAGAGCTCACAAAAAATCTTGGAGAAAACCGCAGCTCATCTCATCTTCAAGAAATGGAAGTGGGGAATGTGGTGTTACTTTTTCAGTAATTAGGCAGTATGTACTATATATATATATATACACATATATATTTGTACTTGCTGTTGGCATAATTTGATTAACCTCACAGTAAAAGAAAAGTTCTTCCAGAGCCTGAGTGCACTGGAAAATAAAATGTTTTAACAGTCACTGTGCAATGAGCAGTATTTGTTTACCCAATATATTTTTGTGACCAAAACAAGTATGAAGTAGGAAAAATAATGCTGATCTTTGTGTGGCCTTTAATCCTATTCCTTACACTGTATCCACGCTTTTTCATGACACTGGTACATGTCTATGTGAGCACGTGTGACATACTCTCATTTTGGAGTTCGTGTGTAACTGTGCCAAGATTTTTTGGGCACAATTAACAAATTGGCTGAATTCAGACTCTGGAAAAAGCAAGCATGGGCGGACCTTGGGTACTGTACTGGTATAATTGTTATTGTATTTTTGGCAACAATTATTAGCTGCGTGTTCACAATTTAAAAATATCATCTACTTCCAAAGATTTCTCTGTTATATGCCGATGCTGTAGAAGAATGATTTTTCTTTCTTTTGGGAATCCAACTACTGCACATGGTTCTCTGAAATTCTGTTAGTGAAATGGCCTTACATGAAATTAATAACTGTCTATTAAGCATATTCTCCAATGGGTGTGTTAGACATTAGGATTTTGGTGCAGCTGCCTCTGAAATGTTGATTTAGTCAAATGATTTTCATGCTAGCCTGAGTTTATCTCAAAGAGATTGCAGGATACTTTCTGCACAACAGGAAAGCAGTGATATTATTTCACTTATTCTAGTATATAAAAGAGAAATAGAGTCATTACATGTATTCTTTTCACCCTTTTATTGAAGCATCTTTTCACTGAACCTTTTCTTGTTCAGACAAGCAACTTCACTTTTCACTTAGTTAAACATCTTAAGTACATGAAGATAGGTCATAGCGACTCCACTCAAAATATCACAGGTATGCTAGGGACCAAAAAGTGTATTTGCATAGCTCATTTGGAAATGGAGTTAAAATTTAGTCCCTGCATCCTCTTTAGGAAGAACTTCTTGCTAGTAAACCTGGACTTCAATTTATGCTTAGAGACGAATTGTAAAAAATGAGCTTTGTTAAGCTTCAATTTTGAAAAGTAAGGCCAAGTTGTCTAACACATTATTTAATGAAAATATTCCCATTGCTTATGGTAAGAAGATTATTTAGTTCTATAAATAGTAGCAATGAGCAAAGCTTGCAGGTGTATTGTTTAGCAGGTCAGTCTAGTTAAACTGCTTGCAAACATTTAGAATATGACTAAATCGAAGATGATGTGTGTGAAAACATGGCCCTTTTGAAAGTGGTGGACAGTTTTTTTAACTGGTACTTGTACCATGAAATATGTTGATATTATTGCCTGTAACAGTGAAGAAAAATGCTACAAAGGCAATAGAACTACCATTCTTATTGTAGTCAAAATGGTATTTTTAAACTTATTAACTTCTGGCAGCCTGTCACATAAGCAAGGTCTATATGAGGCCCATCCCCTTTAGAACTTATTACAGGACTTAACACAAATTGGTTAATGTATCAGAGGAGTTTCACAATCAACCAACAAGTTAACTGTAGATGTTGGTTCAGGTGTTTTGCAAAATCTTTTTCTGGGAAGAGGTTGGCAGTTGTAGAAGATTTCTCTAACAGGCCATCCCTAAGAAGATCACCATACCTGATGTTTGTGGTGTCTAGATCCTTTTACTTCAATCTGTGTTTCCATGCCCTTGTTTGTCATCTCTGCAGTTTAGGTGGCTGATGTAAGCCACATCATAATGGAATCTGAATTTCCCTCCATATCCAAACTCTGTTACATTATTACAATTCATAATTTTTGATATCTCAATTGAATTTTTGAGAAGTAGCAACTAATCCAAAATGAAGAGAACATTTTAGAAAAAAATACGGAATTTCAGAGTGGTGCCTTTTTCTGAGGATATCAAAATTTATGAAGAGAATTTTGCAATGTCCCTGTAAGAGATATGTAAATGTTGTCCTTTTTGTATAGTTGAGAAAGTGAAGCAAAAAGGGCTTGTGAATTTTGTAATGTTTTTTAGGCAGATCCAGGAATAGAATATAGCTGCCTGATTTTCAGAGCAATGTTTTAGTCCTGGAACTTTCCTCTTTGGACATTTATTGCAGCCTATCAGAATGGCTGTTTCCATATAAAAAGAAATGTTACTTTTGCAGCTTTAGTGCTGGAGCATCATAGAACAGCTAGACTAAAGTTTTTGTAAGCACGTTATTTACAAGGGCGACAAAGTCAACTTTGTTCTACAACTTTTTACAGAACGTTCTGGCTGTGAAAGTAGATTCTAAATGCCAGGTTGTGTTCAAGTCATGCAGAAGTTCAAGGCAATTTATTCAACACAGGAAAGGAAGAAGCAACCTCAAGACACTGTTTATGTTGTCAAAAGAATATCGTTAGCTCTACTGTGTTATGAGAATATTTTCCTCTGCATTTCATTGAAAGAGCAAATTTTGACATACATTTGACGGGATTCCAATTGACAAAAAATAACATGTTAGCAAGTCAATACCACTGAGAGACCAATGTGATGCCTGATCTGACATCAAGATAAATTGTTCCAAGCCCCAAATATGCAATTGGTACTGAAAATGAATTTTTAATTGTATTGTACATCTTTCAGAACATCATATGCAATTGATTTCCCCTCTGCCATCGCTTAATTTCCACCTAAGAATAAATATGACCTTTTCCCCCCCCCAAGGTAACTAATAAACAATTATTCAGAAAAAGACTATTATGCAAAAATATTAAGCATGTTATCAATTGGGCATTGTTCTGTGTTTTGAATTATTTTTGAGACTTTCCAGAATCAGAAATATGTCATTACCTGTAAGTCCAGCATAGTTTACCATACCAAAAACCTCTTAATTTGTGAATCAAGTAGACAAGGATGCTTTATACTGTTTCTCCCTCTAGCTGAAAGCAAGCAAATATATTTGATTGAAACTTTGGGCAAATTCCCCTTTGGCACATGGTCATAACTTTCTTAATTTGGTTATATCATAACTGCTTTTAGAGTATGAATGTTAGGGAAGGATGAGAAGGACAGAAAAACACAAGGACATATGTGCTTAGAGATGCTAAGCAGGACTTCAGCAAATCTAGTTGAACTAGTTGCAACTAGATGCATCTCCTGGAGAAACCTAATGGTCTGGACAGAGCTTTCTGTTCTCTACCCGTTTTTCTTGAAACTTCATTTGATTAGGTTTGATGGATTGCTCTGTTGCTTACCCAGTAACAGGAAGTCCCTGCATGCTGATATGGTGATGAATGAGCTTCATCACTTCCTTCTCCTTTTTCAAATTACTTCCTATTATTTTCTTTTTAAAAATTGTTCTGCCCTCCACCTTTTTTTGGTCAGCTCTCCTATGTGTGATTATTTTTGTGTTATTTTCTCCACTTTTGCCAGTGGTCTGCCAAAGATCATCTACTGTGCAGCTGGCAGGTAGAGGGAGGTGATTCTGCCCCTCTATTCTGCTCTTATGGGATCCCACTTGGAGTGCTGCATCCAGCTCTAGGGCCCCCAGCACAAGGAGGAAATGGATCTGCTGGAGCATAGCAGGAGGAGAAGGACCAGATGGTCTTTGCAGGGGAATTCACCTGGAAACATATCTCCCATCTTAGACCACCTTCTGAAACAAACAAACAAATCCACTTTCGCATAATATGACAAATCAATATAATTTAGAAGGTTTTAGCTTCACTTTTGAGACAACTCATAATATAAATATATATACACTATAGACATGCAGGATTTGCTTTTTCAATGTTTCAGTTTGCTTCATAGACAAATGACTTATTAGATGCTTCAGAAATGGCAAGAGGTTCTTTTTCTTTGACAGAGTTCTCTGGTCGGGACCAAGAATCATGGCAATGATTATTGTATTCAATAATCTGTGATGGCTGTGATGATTCTCTTTTGACAGGGTTTAAGCCAAAATTTAATCATGGGCATAAAGTCACAAGTTATCAGTGTTTTAATTACTACGTTGCCCTTTAACCCTTCTGCACCACAAATAGCAGCCAGTGTCTGCCTCTTAGGAGAACATCGTTGTTGTTCACCAATACCATACTCAGTTTGCAATAAAGGTTGAAAGTTCTAATATAATTTTATATTTATTTTCGAGGTAACCTTAGCAGTCCCTTGCCCACTGCAGAGGTCCCTGTTTTGCAGCTGGGTGACATTTATTAAGGCAACTTAGCCTATGTCCTAGCTACATATGTGGCTAGTTTCAGAGTGCTTTTTTATCTGTTGCTGTTATTCTGCTGTATTAGCAGCATATCTTTGAGGCACATGGTTTTATTGCATTAATGTTATAATTGTATCTTCAGTTGGCACATCTTACTTTAACGTACTGTTTTAATATAGCAAAATCTACTACAATGGTCATAAGTGGGACTCCATTCAGACTTTTTACTACTAGCATACATGTCATGCTCTCACCCTATGAGACTGAGTTGTGCCACGCTTGCCTCAGGGATGTTTGTTTCCTTTTTGTTTTGATGTGAAATAGTACAAAATTGCTATAATAGTAAAGAAAATGACTATGTTTTGTTCTTTTTTACTTCCCAATTACCATGACCTTTCAAACACAACACTGAAAAAAAAAGTAAAAAAAAAAGGTCGAAAGTGGTTAACCCTGCTTTTGTGCTTAGAGTCTTGCTATCAGAATTGCCCAAAATACTTCTGCAATCCAAAACATAGTGGCTCTTATTTCAAGGCCACAGTACTCAATGCGACATAGTCATGTTTTATTGCTTAAATTTGCTGCATTGTGGCATCAGCACTCACAGAAACAGTTAACCCTGACACTGGTGCACATAAAAACAGGAGTCAAAGAGAAAAGTAGCAGACTGATAAGTGGTAGGAATAGTTAATAGGGCTCTGCTGATAGTAAATGTATGGACTTGTATGATTTCGTGTAGCAATGACTGAACTTTTTTCTGCTTGTTAAAGTATTTGTCTAGAAATAGAGATTTACATTATAACACTAGAAAATGGATTTTGTGGAGAGTTCTAGAAACAGACTAGATTCTCTGATCACTTTACTCATTTTAAATAACGTGGTACTGAAGTCAATAAAATTACATTTGCAGGCAACTCCATATGTTTTTACTGTGTTTCTCTGGGATTCATTGTATATTAAGATTGTGTTTTATAACACAAGTCGTTACTCTCGGCTATGTTAGCTGCACATTTATCTTGCATGCCCAGTATAAGAGGGATGGCTAAAGACAACAGTGTAATTTGTTATTAAAATCTGGACTTTTTTTTTTTTTTTTTAATTACAGATTAATCTCAGAGATCTTGGGCAGCTTTATAAAATCCGCATTGGCCATGACAACACTGGAAATGATCCCAGCTGGTACCTGGAGGAAGTCAGACTTGAAAGAGTAGTCCCTTTTTCTTATGAAGAGATTTGTCTCCCCATAGAGAGCTGGCTTTCCGAAGACAAGGGTGAAGGTGATACGTGGAGAGAAGTGGCAATAAGAAACCCTGCAGAGGAACTTTTGCCCTGTACGTGCTCAGTATTTTAGATCATGTGTTCACTAACCATATCCTGTGAGTATATGGCACTTTTTCATGTTTCCAGGGCAGCTTGCCCAAAAGCCAGTGTAACCATGAAGCAATCCCTTCCAGATATTTTCTAGCTCCAGGAGAGGGAAGTGATCCCTTAACCCCACTCCTTTCCTTCCCAAAATCAGATTAATAGCTGTTGACCATGGCATCTTACCCTATAAAATATTTGATTTCTCAGAGTGCCTGTACATCACTGGTAAATACTACTCTGTAGAGAAAGGTATCAGGCAGGAAATCAAGGTATGTAATGTTAGTTCCCTTTAGCAAGCTTGAGATCATCCTTTCTCGTCCTGCATAAAACATACTTTACAAGAAATCCATGATCCGAATCATCACACACGTGTTTTTCAAATCAGGCTTTCACATAGAAATTGTTAGCTGCAGGGTGACACTTTGGAACTTCAAAGTTTATGACAGCTTTGATGCCCTTTGTTCTCTTCAACTGAAGTGGGAAATAGCCCATCATACAAGGTTATTATTTAAAAAGTCCTGGGCCTTTATAGAGAAATAGGGAATCAGTATAATCACTATGTGTGACTTTTTTTTTTAATAGATTGTCTTTACATTAATAGAATGACACCAATGCAGCTGATGGCCACTAATGACTGACAGTGATAGGTCTTACATGGATAGGTGCTATCATTTAGCAAATTGGATTCAAACTCATACAATGAATTTTGCAAAGTGTCTGGGATTCACTATAAAAAAATCATCATGCGTTTAGTGACAATCAAATAATTTCAGAAGAAAACATTACAGAAGAGAAAACCCTTAAGTCAAAAGAATATAATTCTCTGAGAAATTATTAAGAATGTGATTTGTGAGTGTTTTATTGCAGGGGCCAGAAGATGGTGAAAAACATGTATGAGCCAGCTCACATTTCTTCTTTGCTCTTTTTTTCTTTTTCTTTTTTTTTTTTTTTTTGCAGAATAATTATTAACTTCAATAAGAGATTTCAAAAAATAGGACTGATCAGGATGAATCAAGTTTTATGATCATTGACATGTACCACAGTACCATATGCCACTCACAGTGACATGTATGTCATTTACTGGTGCAATAGAAAAACAGTGCAGAAGCCAATTAAGTTGTACAATCAATTCAGCATCAATAATTCAAATCTGCATTATGCAGTATGAAAAACCCATTCATAGAAAAGTACTAATATTCTGGTCAGTGCACTCTATTTATATATTTGTATATGAAAAGTCAAGTCAGTTCTATCAAATGCTGGGAATATCTTTAAAATGACACATTTATTTAGCCTTTAATCATTGTATTATGACATATTTCCTTGTATTTGAAGGAACATTATCTTTATTAAAAATATATGTTTCAAGTATGTAAGAAAAGATACATTTCCAAAAGAACTTGGAAATTTCTCAAAAATTTAAGTTTTACTAATTAGTTATTGATTTTAGGAACATTTAAATTGAACATCAATATAAACTCAGCAAGGAGTCCAAAGGATTTCCTATTTATTTTCTCAAGAACAAGCAAATGAAACACTATCCATTTTCATTTCCCATTTGAAAGCTAATTGCTTACAAGTACTGAGCAAACCACATCAAGTCACTTTCTCCAGCAGAAGAAACTACATGCTGGTAATTACTTAATGAGGATTTGATATGATTTAGGAGTTTGTATTCTGTACTTTCAATTTAATCTGTTATCTTCTGGTGATACTAGATTTGCTTAAGTATTAAAGTCATGCGCTGGAAACTTTAAACAAAGTGAACAAATGTAAACTAAGCACATTGGTCTTGTAATTGCTGTTCTTAAATACTTACCTCATTGCTCAGCTTCCCTCTTAGAAGAAATGGTAATTTTTCCTTATTCCTTTTCTCTCTTTCCCCAGCTAAAGTTTTCTATGCAACCAATATGGACCTTGGAAGGTCCATAAAGCCTTGGAACTGTTTTTTAACTCCTCAGCTTCTTGGCTCTCTTTTTTTTCCCTAGCATCTCATCTTAAGATCTAAATTTATTTCCTGAATCTTACCTTCCTCTCTGAACTTGCTTCTTTTCCATTCAAATTTCTCACCTTGGTAACCCTTCTTAGTTTTTCTGACTGTCCCTCAGCCACTTCAAAAAATTGACAGTAATCTGGTCTCCTATTCCAAGTATTGATTTCAGTTCTTTCTCAATCTCTTCATCACACCAGTCTCAATTTCCTTTCCTTTCCTAACTCAGGTTTCTTGTCCCTCCAATGCATGTTTACCTTTGTCTTTCCTTTTCTTATTTTTTTCACATTGCCAAAGTTTCTGGGTTCATGGCTCCTTTTCCCTTTCCTATTACATCTTCTCTTTTCCATTTCCAGTCCTGGAGATCTAAAAAACTTCCCCTGATCTGTGTTTGAAGTTGTCCCTGAATTCAGCATAATGTTGAACTGGGTGATCCCGGAGGAGGTTTCCTCCAGTCCTTTGTTTTGGTTTGGTTTTTTGGTTTTCTTTTTTTTTTTTTTTTTGTTTTGTTTTCTGTGATTCTTCTATGCAGTCTGTGCCTTTTTTTTCATTTTTTTTTCCAAACTTTGCAAGTATTGGAATTTTTACTTGCTGCTCTTTTGATATGGTTTCATCCCCTAGTTAAACTCTGATGCACAAAATAAGGTATTCAACTATTTTCCAAGTGATAGGTATTATAAGAAATTAGTGATCATGCCCTAAGCTGAGTAAATCTTAAAAGAAATCACTCAATGAAAATAAGATAGAAGACTTTGAATGCTTTTGACTTAGCTTTATGACACAGGACATCCAACAGCTGGGCTCACACACTCTCTCTAATCTGCAGCTGTCCCTGGATCCCAATCTCTCCAGTTGCTGGCTCGAGGACATGAGTTTATGAGCCCCTGAGGCTGCAGCCCTGCTCCAGCTTCTGGTACAGGCCATTTCCCTCATGTCCACCCCAGCAGGTCTCACCCCTAAAGATATCCATACCTCAGGCTGTCTCTGGCAGCTGAGCAGGACTCCCATGGTCCCTCCAACACTCAGCTGCTCATGTCTTGCACTGAGAGAGGTGGGACTCCGACCCCTGGACTCACTCCACCCACTGACAGTCTCTCCATGTTTTATTCCCTTCAGTCTCTCCAGTTGCTGGTACTTAGACTCCCTACCCACACATGCATATACACAGAGAACAGAGGAGATCTATTTTCTAACACCACTTCCTCCCCAGGTCACCTAGATCCATCTGTTTCCTTGTCTTTAGTTCCTCTCCTAAATGCCTTATAAGTCCTCTGAGATCACAAAATGTTCCTCTCCTCTGCCCTAAATTGCATCTGACACCCTTGGGCATCAAACCTCTTAAATATGATAGATACTCCAAATTGTCTCATCATGGTGGATTTTACACCTAGGCTAGAGACTCCTGGGACAGTTCTGCAGGGGCTGGGAGAATTTTCCCTTTCCCTAAGTCTCTGTGGGTTCCCACCTGCCCTTGTGCACCTCTGATTGTGGGGATGGGCTGATGGTTGTTGTGATGGGGCTGGGAGAAGCCAGAGCAGGGTGTTACCTGGACTGCCCCCTGCTTGTATTCCTTTTTACATGTGCAGACCTTTATCACAGATCCTAACATGGGTTGTCTTCAGGTATGGCTGAACTTTTGTTCTGAAGGAGTACCTGATTCAAGAGATATTGAATTTTCTTACTGCTATGTTTCTGTGAACATAAATGTCAAATGAGGATATAAATGGGTAAATGTGTCCTGTTCTTGTTCACATCTTCAAAGGAAACTGCATTGAAATAAAAGACAAATACTGAGACTGAGACAGGAAAAATTCCATCCCTGAAGATTTAGTATGCTTTTCCACTTGGAGAAGTGTGCAGGCAAATATAGAAAGGTTAGAAGGTAGCCACTGACAGAAATAGTGCAAAAGATGACCAAAGCAAATAGAAATAACATATTATCTCAACAAAATTTTTATCCCTGTTTTATCACTCAGGAGGCACCAACTACATAAGTAAATAGTCAAGCTTCCTTTACTGTAAAATTCATTAACAAGTATGTTTTTTCAAAGCTGATAATTTTATTGCATGTCATGAAAAAAAGATTTTTTTTTAGACTATTGCTCCAAATAGTACTAGCGGAGATTAGAGATCATTTAGTGGATATTAGAGTGAAAACTAAAATTCAAACTGCAATGTCCTAACCTGATATTGTTTTTGTATTTGTGTCTTCTAAATTACTATATGCTCCACTTCTGAAGAAGATAGTCCCTCTTAACCTGTATCAGCCATTAAGAATTTCTCTTTTAGTCTTAACACTGCACTAACCTGTATGTTTACCCTTCTGCCATGGAAAAATGCCAAACACCCTTTGTGAAAGCTGGGTAGTAAGCACCAAGTGACAAAACCAGAGATTGAACGTTGCTGTTTGACAGATTGAGCCAAAATAACCATTTCATTCAAGTGGGCTTGGCCGATGGAAAAAAGGCAGAACCTGGAGCAATACTGTGCAATATTGTTCTGGGATCTTGGTGCCAGCATAAAAGGAGGAATGAATAGAAACAGTTGGACAATTTTAATGTTGTGTGTCATTTAACATCTCTCCAGGTTTTGTGCTCTTTGGTCATTTTGTCTGTTTACACTGGCAGCCTGGTGGGAGTGGATTTGCTCAGTGAAGCACTCAGTGCTAAAATCCCACTTAGTTAAGTGTTCAGTGTCTTCTTTATGGGAGTCTAGAGGGAAGTTACTCCAGGCTTGTTCTAGTCTGTTCTCACAGATTGACCGCCAGTTTGTGTCAAGATTGTTGTTGTTGTGTTCCTGGAATGTATTATCTGGCGTAATTTCATCCAAAAAGAACCTAGTTCTTTGCTCTAAAACCACTCCATGCTGCACACCAGAAAGAAGGAAGTAGAGCCAACTAGTGAATTCACTGGTGTTCTAAGAAAAGCAGTGTCATTAGGCACAGATAGCTGTTTAAATTAATTTGCTCTTAGCTAGATTCTCAAATAATGACTGTACTTACAGTAGAATTACTTTGAAAAGAGATGACAGTGGGACAGCAGTTAGTACCAATTCAACAGAAAAAGACTATTGTTTCTGCCATGAAATATTTCATTTTCATATTCTCAACGATAAATTCTTCTTTAATTCTATTAGGTTTGTTTTCTTCTCCCAAAACATATCAAAACATTAATTTAGTCTTTAGTGTGAAGCAACTGGAGGTGCTTGTTTACATTTAAATTTTCCAAAGGCAAGTGTCATAAGTCGTTGAGTTCTGTACATTAATTCCTCAAAAGGAATTGATAATTATATGCTGTGCCTGCAAACTGGGATCAGACTATATCTCTTCAGCGGTGAAGACTCAGGAATGTATCCATTTTCTGTATTGGAAACCCTGATTCAGGTGCCCAGAATGGGAAATCTGGAAAAAGGGGTTCTCTAACTCACGTTCTATTGCCCTTAGAATGCCCCTAAGTTACCTCTTTTTCATAACCAGGAAAACTTCCTCTCTCTCTCTCTTTTGTCCAAGGTAGTTAATTTCTTATTTTATCAATAGACCCTAGAAGCTGGAGTCGGGATTTAAAAAGCTCCTGAAGCCTCATGATAGTATCTCAAGAGATAGCATTTTTATAGACTGAGCAACTAGAAATTTGGTACTAGCACACTTGACTGCTCATATGACTCTACAGTTTTTTTAATATATTTAGTTCTGTAATTTTTTAGCAATTATTATACTGCTTTAAAGTCTGCCATTTAGAAACTCCTCACCTCTGTCTTAAAACACTTTAGTTCCCTTTTTCATCTGTTTCATCCATGCATGCTTATTGAAGATTTTTCTGTTTGGTTTCTAGAATTTATCTAAGGTTACCCTGTGAGCAATCTGAAGATTTCAATCACTTATTTTCTGAAAGGTTATTGTCTTTTTTACTGAGTGCTAGCTGAGATTTTTTTCCCTGCTATTCTGTGTTAATTAATCCTCTTATATCCTTCATTAAAGTTACTGTGTTTTCCAGGACATTTCTTCTATTACTTTGATGTGCTTCACATTGGACAGATGCCTAGATGTGAGTCTCACAGGTCCCTCTCGATGCTGAAACACTGTTTCCTCACTTCTGTTGAGTGGCTGGTTTTATGAAATAATTTTCAACTTTTTTTCCTTTTTGGTTGTTTGTTTTTTTTTTTTCCCTAAGGGTTTACCTCTCTCCGAATGTCTTGTCACCCCAGTTTACAGCTGATGTAGTTTCACTGAATCTTCATATCATAAAAGGAAATTACTACTAGAGTATAGGGGATCAGGCCATACAGTTCTAATTTTCAGAGTTCTGGGATGGGTTTTTCTTCCTACAGTGAAGGAAGTCTCCATTGCAGATGGGCCTGCAGCAGGGGCCTTAGAATAGGTTGGTTACTCAAAAGAAATGAAACCACAATCTCAGAGGGTGAACACATCTAGGATCCTTTTACTTTACTCTCTACACAACAAACTGCGTTTTGGGAACAATATACAGAAAACTACAAATGGAAAAATTTCACATATGGTGAGTCCTTTTGTCTCAGCAGTATGTTCCATGGGTAGGTTTGCTCTCCAGATTTGGTTGCATTGTCCCATCAAACAATTGGTGTACCTTGTTTTATCTGTTACAGAGTGGCACCTCTTGTTCTTAGTTTTAAGCAATCTTTAGCTCAGGAGCCATTAGCACTAGCACCTTTTGTAGGTGCTCTGCAATCTAAAGGAACTGCTTGGTAAAATCTGAAAAATTTGAATCCTCTCAGGCTGGTCTGTGCCTAGGTTTCTATTTGCAAAGGAAAGGTTTAATGTCCATAATCTATATAGTGAATATTTATTTGAATGTTCAGTTGTTTCACCATAGTGGCCATGCTCACCATGTTCTAACTAAGCATGTGTGTTTTGGACGATATTTTCCTTGCTTCATTTTTTGTGTAATTCCTATAAAATGCATTGTAACAGATACTCAAGTTAAGGGGTATAAACATTTCTTTTATTATCCTAATATAATAGCCTGTATTGTAATAGCCTATATTTGTAGAAAAAATTAGAGCACAAGCTGGTCTTTTTTGTTAAGGTTCCTGTATAAATAATGCAGATTGTGTAGCTTAAATAAATGTCAGACATAACATTTTACAGATGGTGAGGGATGTATAGACACAAGAAACTATGGAAAATATTTTCCAGTTTTTTACATTTCAAGATGTGCATGCTGTCTACTTCAGACTGATTTATTTAGACTGGAAGCAAAAGAAAGCTCTGTTTAATGATTAGATCATTATCATCTCTCTGGTTACCACAGAGATGCACAGTGCAATAAAACGTACTGTAATTTATTTATCTGTTAATATCTTTGTGCTGTGTTATAATTACCTCTTGTTCTCTTCTTGTGTGTCCTTCCATGAAAAGACTTGGTATTTTGGTTTCATAAACATATACTTTTAAACGGTTTCTTAAAAATAAGCTTTGAATATGCTTTAAAATTGTACTTATAGTTACTGAATTTTTTTTATTTTTAATCATGGAAATTACTTGTAAGTAGTACAGTCTTTCTATGTAAACAGTCTTAACATAAACAGTCTATACCTCTTCCTCTCCTCCCATAGATATTTTGCATTTTCAAAACTAAGAACGTAAGTAAGAGTGTAAAACTGTGGAGGAGACTTCATGTCAATATGTTCCTTCTTTTACTACCTGCAGCATCTTGCTTCATGGGTAGTACAGCTATGTGTTATTAAAATTTCTCTTCACAGATTATTATAATTTTCCCCCTTTTTTTTGGAAATGTAACCACTCTTCTCCCACACTTGTAAAGATTTTGCCCCTTCATGATCAGTGTGGCTCTCTGCTTCTCTGAACATTTTCTGTCACAGTTTGTTGCCACCCCTTATCCTCTACCCTTTGGCCAGCTATGATTATATTAGCAGTTATGATATAAAATGTAATTTGGATATATAGCTCAATTATGCTAATTATCAGGTCAATTTATCTTTGCGACTTGCTGTTCACATCTACAATTTATTTTAGCACACATCAAGCTAAAAACCTTGAAACTAATTTTTATAAGGCTCTTCCAAAATTTTGAAAATATGTGTGTGTTATGGAGATCAATTATATGTCATGGGTGGTGTTGGTACATTGGATGCATGGGTGTGAGAGCTGCAATGAATGCTTACAATTACAGAAAATAATATAATTGGTGATGGAACACCACTCCTATTTAGAGTCCCAGTTGTAATAGTGATAAATAGTTGGACACACGGTGTTTTAGGATAATTTTATGCAGATTAAAAGAAATAACCTAATTTGGTTAAGCATAGAGCCTATCCATCTATCCATCAACTTTTCTCCTATGTTTTAATACATGTGGGGCTATTTTTCTCCCTCAAGTATTATTTTACTACTTGTCTAGCTTCTCCTCTGGGAATCAGGAGCAGTTGTTTTTCAGTGATGGTGGACAACATGATGTTTGAGTTTTATAAACTGACTTGGGAACCAGTGAATAAAAAAATTATGGAAATTTCAGATTCTAGTATCTATTTGGTGTTTTAAGGGTAACAGTATTTTAACTAGTTTTTGCAGAGTTTCAAGCATTTTGTTATATTCTGTTTTCATCTTTGTTCCTTCTTAAAAGGAACTAATTGTGTTTCTTAGGACTTCTATTACCTTTCTTCACTCCCAAGAACTGTTAAAATTACACATAAATGAAGCAGTAATCTTCCCTGTGATCTACTACATAGCAGCAGAAATGGCCAGCTGTGATTAGAATAGAAACCCTGCATGGAAAAATTGCCATTAAAATGTAAATAGGAATTCTTTTTCTTTAAAGTTGCAGAGAGAAAAACTGAAATGAAACATAATAGTGTATGACCACTGCAAAGAATTTTTTAAAAATAAATTTGCACATCTGGATAGTTATAAAAATAGTATTAATGTGGCATAGAACATCTGAATACAGTAATTCTAAATTATATTTCAGAATTCTTTGAAGATGTATATATTTTTTGTGTATAAGACTTTGGTCTAGACTATAAGGAGAGGCATTAAAAAGTTGTAAATATGTTTTAACTGAGACCTGTTTTTGGAAGTCCTATTCAGTCACTACTGACAGATGTAGAAACCTTCAAAAGCAAGATGACTGTTCATTTTTTATAGGTGTGGGAGCTGTTCTTCTGCTTGCCCACCTTTGTATGTGGGGTGAAAATCTAAAACCCCTTGGATTTGTGTTTTTTATTCCTCTTTTAAGATGAAATGAAGGTTAGCAACCCAGATAATTGTTTTGCATAAATCTGGAGGTTGAAAATGCCTAGGTAGTACAATGTAGCTCTTATTCCAGATGATGACTCAATACAGTTAGGTGGTCTCCAGACAAATTGCAAAGAAAGACTTTGTGAATTAGTAATGCATAGCAGTGCTCAGCATAATGTGGATTTTTTAAGCTTAGTGCTTTCATATTTTTGTGAAGAGAAAAAGATTTGAACCTAAAAGTGACAAAAAATTCATGGATAGCTGTTGCTACTTGCAAACTAGAAAATCAGTAGAGTTTTCTGGCAAAATTTTGATGAGGAATCTTTAGAATCTTGTGCAAGCTGCAAGGATAACCTCATGTTTTTTCTTCTTCTAGTGGTGGTGTATGAGGTCCATGTATACACAGGTTCTAAACTTGGTGCTGAAACGGATTCCAATGTTTACATCAACCTCATTGGGACAAGAGGAGATGCTGGCAAAAGGAAGCTCCATAGATCTAAGAATAATAATGTTAAGTTTCGACATGGACAGGTGAAGCAAAAACAATGCTGCTTCTGATAAATAAGAATAAATTATGGCTAGAAAACTGTTTCATCAATAAATGCAAATCTTTTTATTTACAAGATTTTTTCAAGTATGGACCATTTTCCTTATTCAAAATTGCTTACATAATTGCATCATATAGATAATTTTTATCTGCTTGATCAACCATTTAATGAGAGCTTTAGATATTAGATTATTGTATTTTGATTATTTGTATTGCACAGAGATAAAATGGTAACAATAACATTTTTGTTGTCCTGAACAAATCACTGTGAATTTTAGAATCAAGTTCTAAATCTATATTCCTAAGTATGTTTTCCAATCTTGGTGAGGCAGATAGGGCTAGAAAATATAATACAGACACAACCAAGTAATTGATCATTGTGTCATGCTAAAGATATCGGTGTTGTCTCTGTGGAGTAATTTTCAGGTTTTATTCACCTAAGAAAGTTTTAAAGGATCCTCACTCTTTGACCTGGATGAATATAAAACAACTATATTCATTTGGAAAAATAAAAAAAAAAAGAAAGAAGAGTGGAAAAAAACTTTGCTATACTGTTACAGTCAAAGCAATAGCTATGTTTAAGACCTTTATCATTTTCCTTGTATGGTTCCACAGATGGATATTTTCTGCATAAAGGCTGTCTCACTGGGAGACTTGGAGAAAGTTCTGATTAGCCATGATGGAGCTGGTCCAGGTAGGATTTAATTTCCTAGAGACCAGTCTGTTTTCAAGTCCTTTTTAAACCCAGTGCACTTGTTTATGTTGCATCCTTCATAGAAAATGTGACAGAAGGTCTTGCAGTGATAAAAAGTCTTCCTGCAGCTTGATCACTGTGATGGGATGATGAAAAACTGTGGTAATGGACAGAAAAAAGGGCATGAGTTTAACACCATATACTGTTATTCCACTCTTTATTTTCACGATTATTTACAAGAAAGCATTATTTATTTGCATGTAGAAAACTCTCAAAAGTGTGGCTCACACTGGTAAGACAATCTTTCACTAGACAAACAGTGAAAACTATCCAGGAAGGAATTAAAGATATTTAGCTGCTGTTTTGCTACCTGACAAAATTTGAGTAGCTATAATACAATGTCCTTGCTGCTTTGGGCAATTGTAGAAGATTTGATTATATATTTGATCTGTGAAAGTCAATGTGGAGCTGTTCCGGTGAGTGACATTGAATTCAGCTTGTAGGTTTTTCAGGAAAAAAGAAAGAATTTGGTAATGAGATGAGGTTTGGGTACAGGCCCTTGAAGAAGTATGCATCCATGGAATGATGTAAATGAAGAGAAAGCTAGCATTTAATAGCAACAAAAATGTAAATTCTGCAAATGTGCTTGCAGATTAATATCTAGGAAGAAGCTAAGTGAAGAGAAGGATTTTTAGGCAGTTCAGGGCTCCAGTGATAACAGATTAGAAAAGCCCTTTTACCCTACTCTGTTCAGAAATGGCCCCAAGCAACACCCGTCTTGCTGTGTACACTGCCTAAGGCTCTGAGCAGGTTATTACAGAAATAGCCATAACAGAGTAGCCTTGGAATGGTGTGTAATCTTGTTTCCTATATCTGTAGCTCCATAGAGTTTGCTCTATTGCCTTCAGCACACATTGTTTCACATTGTTGTAACCCAAGACATCACACAAAAGGCACCGTGGTGGAGCCCTCCATCCCTCCATTCCCCACAGCACCATACCATGCTCTATTCCCTCAGATCTCCTTTAATAGGCAGAACAGATTAGCAGGATCAACACTACCAATCTATAACCCAATTCTGCTATCTCAAGATGTTCTTTGACATTGGAGCTCAAATCTGTGGGTTTGAAGGACTGTCTAAATAGGACAATTGATTGAGTTCTACCTGTAACAAAATATATGCCTTGGTAATTCAGAAGGTTTTTCACCGTACTCAGCACAGACAGATCTCACAGATGTCTTTTGAACTGTATCCAAAACTAGCCCCACATAAGCCTGGCCTGAGGAGACTAAAGGGTTGGGAGCTGGAAAACGATGGTGACTCAGGAGAGACTCAACCTTTTGGGGGTTGAGAAGGAGGGTTCCTTTAGAAGTGGAGTACCCTTTTTTCTCATCATTTGCCTGAGTGACAGGGCAGGAAGATCTTTAGTCTTGATTTGGAGCCTGTCTTGGAAGGATCCTAGAACATGTTTTCTTTTGAGGGTCCTAGGCTGCAAGACACAGATCTACTCCCACAGCCACTGTGAATGAGGAAAGTAAAGGACTTTTGTCCTAAATAACAGGGTTTGCTCCATGCACTGCCTGCAGATGCCCTCCCTATGTGACAGAAACTGCTGCCTTCTAGGGACTTCCAGACTGAGATGCAGCCAGGGAGGCAAAGCATAAGGATAAATAGAACGATTATTTGCTTCTGACCAATACATCCCACATGCTTTTTTGCTGCAATAGGTAATGGTGTGAGTCGGGCAAAACCTCGTAAGCAATATGAGAAGTTGTGAGCGGTGCTGGTGCAGTGAGAACAAGATATTTGAGACAGGACAACCAGACCTCTCACTAAGATGGTCATTGGAAGTGATCTAAAAGATCAGCATGGATGTGCCTGTGCTTACTGCAGCTAGAGAAAAGATGAATTCAGCAGTCCAGCAGAAGTGAGACTGCACAGCCCCATGCCTGCTGGTCTCGTAGCAGCAAGGCTGAGTGTGTGCTCCCTGTCAACACACACACAAACACATTTATGAAACACATGTATGTGTGCACATGGCTGACCAACACAGACAGGAACTCACAACATACACAAACAGTACAAGTGGCCTTTCCCTGTGACCATCTGCAGCTGATCTGAACAGTCCATCAGTGTCAAACATAAGAAGTATGTACAGGACGGATGTATAAAGCCTCTAGTAGCTGACTTTAGGCAGTCAGTCTTTCTGGTTTCTGGCTCTGGATCCTTGGATCCCCAGTTTTGCCAGTTAAAAAGCATACAAAACCCCTCTAAGGCTGTAGCCCCACTCCATTTGCACATGAGAGCATAAATTTTAAAGATTTGTTAATTAATATTTTTATATACACAATAGGAAATTCACTCACAGAGGACCAAAATTTCCAGCTTTCACACAAATCTTGATTACTGACATAAACAGATTTGTCTCAACATTCTGATGCCTGATTACAGGGAATCAAAAGATATAGGTTGGGATATGAATGGTGTTGACAGTTCAGAGATGTATGCATGTATTTGTCTCCAAGGGAAAAAACCTACTCCTCTTAAAATTAAAACAACATAAGGCAGAGAAGAATTGCATCTTTTATGAGAGACAAAAAATAATAAAGCTTTCATTCTGTTAATATATCTTATTTATTTAGATGAGATCTGTCTCAGTATGATCTGTGTTTCTGCTAGAAAAAGATAATCTGGGCTTTTTTTCTTAAAATTTAATTAATTATTTTTTAAAAAGTATGATTTCACATGATAAACTTTTGTCATTTCAACACAGGTAGTGGATGGTTCCTGGATAAGATTGTCATCAAACATAAAGAAGGAGAGGAAGCTCAGGAGGTTGTATTTCCTTGTAATAGGTATGTCATTCATGGAGAAAAAGAATTTGTTGCCTGCCAGCAATGTAATGAAAAAATTTTAGAGCAGATATGTGCACACAACCGAGATGTTTGAGCAATGCCCCAGAGTTTTCAACACACAAGTGATGCAAAATTTTACAGCTCAAGACAATGAAAAGGTTCCTATATTGGCATGAAAGGGAGTCATAGCCTAATGCAGAAAAGCCCCAAACAAAATGTTGCATTAGAGGAAAGGTGCATTAGTTTTGGTATTTTTTAATCTAAATTATACAGAAACCATGTGAAATTAAATAAACTTTCAGTTCTCAATTTTTAAAGAAGTATTGTGAGTAATGATCAGAAATGACATCATGGAAACATGGTGGGATGACTTGCATAGCTGCAGTGCTGCCATGGATGACTATAAACCCTTCAGCAGGGAGAGGCAAGGAAGGAGAGGAGGTGGGGTAGCCCTGTATGTTAAGGAGTATTTTGATTGTCTAGATGGTGATGATAGAGTTGGATGTTTATGGGTAAGAATCAGGGGAAGGCCAACAAGGCCAATGTCATTGTAGAAGGGTCTAGGTCTGTTACAGACCAGCCAAGCAGGAGGAAGAGGCAGACAAAATGTGATATGAGCAGCTGGAAGAAGTCTCACAATTGCCAGCTGTTGTTCCTGTGAGGGACTACAAATATGATACAGCAGAGGAGGACTTTAGGAGGTTCCTGGAGCCCGTGAAAGAGAACCTCCAGAAACAGTTGGTGAGGTAGCAGAGTAGGGAAGATACCCACTGGATGAAGGAAAGGCTGACCCATTTTATGCCTTCTTCCCCTCAGTCTTCAACAGGAATACCAGCTCATAGGCAGCCCCCTGAGCTAGAAGAAAGGAGTGGGAAGCAGAAGGAACCCCACCATCCAAGCAGAAATAGTCAGTGGCCTGCTGCAGCACGTAGACATACACCAGTCTATTGGGCTGGATGTGATCCACACAAGGGTACTGAAGGGAGAGGCATGTGGGTCACAGCAGCCCCATGCAGGTTACAGACTTGGGGATGAGTGGTTGGAAAGCTCTCTGCTGCAAAAGGAGCTGGGAGCTCTGGTCAACAGTCAGCTGAGCACAAGCCAGTGTGTGCCCAGATGGCCAAGAAGGCCCATGGCAACCTGGCTTGGATCACCAATAGTGTGGCCAGCAGGACCAAGACAGTGATTGCACCCTGTATTCACCACTGGTGAGGCTGTGTCCAGTTTCTGTCAAAAAATTCCTTTCTACTTTTAGAAACTGCCAGTGATCTTTTGTTTCTTAGGACAGAATGAGGAGATAGGTCTCAAAAGTTAATCAAGTTGTTTATTGCAACAAGAGTTGAAATACAACGGAGTTTAGACTTCATGCATAAGAGATTTATTCTTAGAGTTTTGTTACATACAATAAATGAAATGTGTTATGGGTTCTTGGGTTTAAGCAACTACAACAACTTGGAGTCAATAAAATAGAAGCTGATAGTGAGCACGTATTTATTTATTTTTAAATAAGTGAGGTTTTTGAAGATTGGGAAATATAATGTGAACAAGGGGATTCAAATGAATGAAAGTATGAATGTGTGTTTGCAGTGAAATGATATTACAGAAAACCTCCCTAAATTTATCAGTATAAAAGAAAAGTAAAGAACAGAAGTTCAGTTTGTTGCTGAAGATCTGTAAAATCCAGGCCTGCAGGTTGTATATATAATTTTAAGTACAATGACTATGACTAACCAGTGCAGGTTTTAATAACACTCTCACATGTACAATTGAGTCTCTGAACAAATAAATAATTAGTATTTCATATAATGTACTCTGTATAGTACTACCTCATTTCATATGGCTACCCTGAAAATTCTTCTTTACCTGGAGCAAATTGAACCCAATTCTTATATGAATAAGGCCAACTGCGCTGAAGATATAAAAGAAAATTTGATCTTGGAAGTAGTTTCAAGTTGTAACTTGATAAATGGTACATAAAAATACTATTGGAGACAAAAGACAACGGTCAGTTGATATATTCTATACTAAGAGTTTTTATTAATCTTATTATTTTTGTTTTTGCAATGAAAGATGGTTAGCTGAATATCAAGATGATGGGAAAACAGAGAGGGAGCTAACTGCCAACAGTAAGTATTTTGTTAAAGAAAATTTGCTATAGCACTACTAGTGTATACTTAATACCTAGCTATTACTGAAGAACTCTTCCAGATAAGACCATAACTTAAGAAAAAAGTGATAATAAAGCTAGCTCACAATTATTTTTCTTGCTCATATTTTAGAATATGGCAGTTTAATGAAGACATTCCTTAAAGGTAAGAGTTGTTTTCCAACCATTGTTTTCTATACCATCGTTTTCCCTGTTTGAATTTAAATCAGTATTGCGAGAAATATGTGAGCAAGTGACCTCATTTGTATGTGTGTTTTCTTATATATCAGCTGTGAGAGAAAATGACAAATTGGCTGGCAGTAGTCTACAGGAAGGACTAGACCTTTATAAGCAATTGAGAAAAAACATAAACTATTTTGGGTTTTCTTCTATTTCTACTATTCTGTCCTGAAGTCAACCAGGAATTCCTTTGAGAAAAGATTCAAGTGTTGGTTTGTTTACCCCAATGTCACTGTCATTTAATATTTGGGGACAGGTCCCCTAGCAAACATCAGCAAGTTAAAAAATATGTTGTGAAGTGTCAGTGGGAACATTTTCAGGTCAAAATTCCAAAGTAACCAGAAATAATGCAAGCTTAAACTCTAAATTCTCCAGTGAAGCTAAATATAGTATGTGCCTTCAGTTGGTTAAATCTGCTTGAATTAATAAAAAGACATTAATAAAAAACTCCCCGCCCAGATTTCTGTTTTTATATCTACAAAGACAGTGTCATCCCTATAATGCACTAATTACCATCTCCGTGTTTCTTCCTAATCAGAAAAGAGTAACAGACTGACACAAGTATTTTTTATGGATGTTTAACTATAAATGGATATTCTGTGCCACTGTGTCTGGGAATTTTATGGGAGCAACTAAACTAAAAAAAGTAGTGTTTCCATTTGCCTCTTAAAGCAGTGACTTGCTTTCTGTAGGATGAGTCCTAGTGTCTCAATCTAGTTCCAGTTTCAGTGAAAATTGGATCACTTGCATTCAATCAAACAGTTTAGCCAACAGCTTTATTATTCCATAAAACATAACTTTGACAAGAGGAGAATAATGAACTTGGGTAAGTAAAGACTTTCTCACAGAGAAAGTTGATTCTCACAGAGAAAGTTGATTCTCACTTGGAATTGGGTTCTGCATTCTGCTAAGTGCACAATTCTGAGAGACAACCATAATATCTGTTTCACCTTATGTTCAGAAAATAGACTGTATTTTACTACCAGTTCAAAATTTTTTACCAGCACATTTTCATTCCTCGTTATGTTATAGTAAGCAGGCACAGATGCACAGGCTGCTCATTGCCTGTGAGCGTCAAGAGTGATCAGACTCAGGATGTTGATTATGAGGAGAAAGGAGTGGCTTATTCTTAACCAGCTTTTGAAATGCCACTCTGTCAAGATGCCCAGGAGGACCCAGAGACCATTGAGACCAAAACTTCTGAAAAAAGCGGTTATAAAAGAGAAGAACATTCTTAGGAAGTTATCTGTCAGTTAGCTATGACAGCTTAGCTTGAGCTGCTCTTCAGCCATCTTTGTTTTACCCATGGGCTCATTCTAGTGAGGAACTGAAATAGATTAGAGATTGGACTTTTATGCCTTTTGTGAAAAAGGTGATGATCAGGACTGATTTTTCACAGTTTAATTTGTGTTGTCATATCAGTGATCTCATAGACCTTGCATGACTGAGCTTTGTAGGAGCTCAAACACAAGAGGTTTGGAAAGATAACCTGTAGTCTACTCTGTGTCATTCTATCATGACTCAGTGACAATGTCAAAGCTAGAAAGAGAACATTCCAGAGATGCAGAGTCCTGGGAGAAAATCTAATTCCCTTAGATTCACCCAGCACCTGTAGCAGTGAAGATTTTCCATGGTAGAATAGTGATAAGCACTCCCTTCAGAGTGGAGGTGAAAACTTTCCATGTAACATATATTTACTGAATAAGAGGCAAGTGGAAGTTCTGATGTTAGGGAGGCAATGTTTTAGGCACTCGTGGTAATATTCTATATGAGTTACACTCTGCAAATGGGCTTCAGGGAAGGTCATAACAAGCTGATTGGCATAATTCAATGTTTGCTGATTTTCAGGGTAAGATCAATGTCCTTAAGTCAGGTTTAAATCACTGGTTACAAAACAAATTACTTTATAAGTTACTCAGAAGGTCAAAAATCTCGTTCACTTTGGATGAGGCTAGTAAACTGCTCAACCACCTAGCCAAAGAGGAAACTTTGAAAGTCATTATTGTTAGGTAAGTTACTTGAGGGCACTTTATCCTTTTTCAGCCAGGCTGGTGTTATGCCAGCTCTAATGAAGCATAAATCCCAGATCCCTGTGGCTGCTGCTGCTGGCTATGGATTCTGCCAAAATGCAGTCTGCCCATATCAAGTTTTCTCAGTAACCTTTGTACATTTGTACATTACAGAGAGGCTCTGGCAAATCAGGCATAGGAATAGATTTATTTGTATGCCTCTGACTCCTCGTATATTTGATGCAAGATAGAGAAAGTGTATTGCCCTGGTGGAGAAGGCAGATAGGTGCTCTCAGCTCTCAAATGAAGTTGATTTGAGGGATTTGAAGTCGATTTGAATGGGATTTTATGTTACTCTCTAAAAGTTTCCTACATGGTAGTGATATTTTACTACTTTTTCCTTCTATTTTCTCTATTTATTTTCCCTTTTTTTTGCATCAAAATAGACGATGTATCCTAATAGCACATAGGAAAGAATTTTCTCTCAAGGTAAGGAGAAAAGACACAGTATGTTCCAATGATATCCTCGCTGCAGTCAGCTAAAAGGAGCTGGTTTCCTGTAATGTGATGCCTGTAGGGTATCCTGAGGTTTTGTGGGTTTTTGTGGGTGGTAAATAAAGTGTGGCCCGGCAGCAGTGTTTGGTTAATAAATATTTCTCGGTTGACTCTTCTTCTGTTGTGCAAGGTTTTTGGTATTAAGGCATATAGAAAATTCATAAGGAAAAGAGAAAATATTCAGTAAATTCTGCCATGACTAATTTTGTTTTGGAGTTATTCACTACCTTGCAAGTGTTTGATAATGGAGTAAGAATAATCACAGGATTCCCAAATTTAAAACGGAAGGGGCCTGCTTTTTAAAAGCAATAACAGTGTGTTTCCATTGCCAGATGGAGGCGGAAATCCCTAAGAAAAAGAATTAAGCAGAATGCTCTGCCTCAAGGCAACACAAATTTCTACAATCTTCAAGGAAATAAGCAACCAACTCCTACGTCTTGCAAAGTGTGAATGTCATTCTAGGTCTTAAGACCAGAAAAACACCAGAATGAAAAACCGCTGATATAGTGTATTGTAAAAACAATTCTGGAAATTTTTTAAAAATACATAAATGGCTCATATTTTTAAAACCCCACAAAATAAACCTTCCTTTTTCAGCTTTATGAAATATATTATGAAATGTTGACTTCAGGTTTTGCGATGCCCAGATTTTTATGTGACAGAAGTAATTGCAGGTTTGATTTTCACAGTTTTATCAGAGAAACTTTCAGGTTCCAGACAGTGGTTAAAAGAATTTCTGGCAGGAAATTGTTATGACTGATCCAATTTAATTTCTGAAAGTCAAGAAATGATCCCTAATTCTAACATATCTCTGGATAAATCTCTGTAATGTGAATCATATTCTTGGTTACATCACCAAAGAGAGAATTCTGAGACTTATTTTCACAGAATTCTGTTTTTTCCTCCACTGTTAACTTTAGTGCTTCCTACATTGGTGTCTCAAAGTAAATGGCTTTAGCTTTACAAGTAAGCTGTAAAAGTAAACAACACACTAACACACAAATCACTCCGAAAGGAAGTTAACACAGGTCAGTGATATCAGGGGAAAGTCTTTTTTAATACGGCCGCACCTATGAAACACAGAAAATGATCTATTGAAGCCCAGCTATCTCATTTCCACCACTTCGCTCTTGAAGAGATATAGAAATCACTGAACACAAAAAATACTTGGCATCAGTCTTCTGTCTTATGTAGCCATCCTGGCCAAGTAGATGTCTATGTGAATAGAATATTAGACAAAGGATTTTTTGATTCTTCTGGCATGAGCAGGTTAAATGAATTTGTTGAACTGAGAGTGAATGCAGGCAGTTTGTGTTAGTTCACTTATCAAACTGTAGAAGCATTAAAAGTAAGTGTAGGAGAATAAAGAATCACAGATACTAAGATCTGTAACCATTGATTTATTCCCTGGAAAACTCCCAACTGTGGTCTTAGCCTTCCTACTGAAATAATAATTAAAAATACAATCATGGATATTAATTAAAATAAATAACCTTGCCCGAAATACCTTCTCTGAACATGTTGCCTCTTTGAGGAGGGAATAGGCAGTTATGCATCTGTGATTTCTCTTAAATTGGGGCTTGCTCTCTCCTGGAGCAGAGGGATATTACAAAGAGAAAAAAAAAAAAAAAAAGCTTCACTTGGGAAATACAGAACTGCAAAATTATTTTAATTTCCTCTCTGCTGTGTTCCTGGGACACCCTTCAAAACAGGGCATGGTTGGACAGGATAAGAGATTCAGGGCTATGTTGGGAGTCTTTGTAAAAATTTGAAGCTCCTCATAAACCCTTGGAGTGCTCAGGAACAGCAAAAGCTCAAACAATGCTTGACTTCACCAAGTGCGACACCCTGAAGAGTACCACATGCCAACCTGGCACAAGGAGATAAAATTCAAAGCTGGCACATATATCAAACAGCAAAAGTTCCTCATTAGGCAAAGTGTGGATCTTCCACACACTGCATCTGACTCATTGCTGGAAATGACCTTAAAAAAAAGAGTTCAGATGGAAGGATCCTTTCAGCTAGTGTGTTACTCAGAAGACTGGCTGTGAGATGAGTATTTGCCTGCTGTTTTCTAGCTGAGCCCAGAAGAGTCAGATGTAACGCAGAAACAGGCTCTACAACAAGAGGAAAAACAGGATTAGCTAAAAAAACCAATAAGAAAAAAGAGGAAAATTATAAATCAAGGAAACCAGATCAGGTTTTCATCTAGTCTCCATCTTTAAACAGGCATAGGAAAGCAAAAGGTAGGAAAAAAAGCACACAGTTCTGTAAGAAAAAGTCACATCTGATTTATTTCTGAATTAAATTATTCTAAAATTCATTTTATCAATACATTGTATTGTGGGCTTACACACCATCACAAAATAGTTTTCTTTTATATTAGTCCCATTAGCAAATTATTGCATTATCACAGTATTGGCCACAGTCTAAAAAAAAAGCTTTTAATTTGCTTCCACTCATGAGTTCCTCTTGCCATGCAAAATCAAGAGGCTTTTCAACAAATAATTCCTTTGAATTCAGAGGATGATTTACCTTCAAGCACTAAAGTAGCTTGCTAAACTATACTGTCCATCTAAGGCACTGCATTTTCCCCTCACCTGGAACAGCTTCCCAGGTGCATACTGGGTTTCTAACGCAGTTATAAGTACAGGTGACTTACCAAAAAACAACCTCTAAAAGGCTCAAGCCATGAGGTGAGGTGAGGTCAGTGCAAACATGTCTTCAAAATTTCCTGAATTTTGTATTCAACCCTAAAGAGTGATCTGATCTGACAAATGAGCAGACTGGGCATGACAAATTAAGTTAGAAAAATCTAAGAAAAAGAAGTTGAAGTTTCATTGTTTAGCTAGCTATGTATTAGCCAGCAGGTCTTACAAATGTATCACACACAAGCCTTCCAAAATGTTAATATTCTTTTCATGTTACATAAGAACATTCTAAGAACTGAAATTTATTAAAATAATTACTGTAATTAAAGTAACTATTTTGTTACAAAAAATGCAAAAAAAAACCCCAAAACAAAACCCTAGGGGAAAAGTTTATTTTTTCTGCTCCCTAGGTATTAATTTTTGCTTTCATACCCGAAAATTGTCTTGTGTTTATCAAGTCTGAGTTATACTTATTTTCTAGAGACTTTTTTATTAATTATGAATTATTTATTTATAATAAATGGGATGTAAACTCATGGTAATCTATAATTCTTTGTTGTGGTAGTAGCAAAGGCATCCTTTGCTCTCTACCATTGATCCTAAAAGTGTTTAATTGGTAGATTGATGCTGAAAATGTTTTTTCCTGTTTTAGCACAACGGTGGAGAGTGCAGGTTAAAACGGATGGAGATTCCCCAGAGCCACAGGAGTGTAGAAGGACCCTTGTGATTTATGGCTCAAAGGGCAAAAGTGATGAGCTTCTGCTTTCTCCACAAACCCCAGGATATGTGTGTTTTCTCCCCAGAGCAACTGATGAATTCATTGTAAGTCAGAAATATACAGTACTATAAAGAACTTATCATGACATTGCCCTCTAGGATATGTATAGATATATACAGATATATAGGTATACAGATATGTATATATGTGTGTGAGCGTGTATACTCAACTAGCATTATATAGATACAGTTGATACGTCTGGTAAAAAATGATGTAATTATTTACAAAGGTGGAACGACATAACTATAGGTCTTGGGTCATCTCCTACTGCTAGTCCTGTTCTACTACAGCCAGCTCCACGGACTCTTTTGTGTAATCTATGGCTCATCTTGCATTTTTTATAATTCCCTAAAGATTCCTGAGTTGAAGTTCATACAAAAGGCAATATACAATTATTTGTGAAAGCAGAAGATGAAGGATTGAGCAGCCTTCCCAGGGGACATAAGTGGGCTTTTCTTTCCTTCATTTCCATCTCTGTAAAGTAGTATCCACTCTCCACAGGATCGTTCTGTCTCTCAGGCCAGCAGGCAGAGGATTTTTCTGGATAATCACAAATCACTGGAGAATGAATTCATGCATATCAAAGAGTGGTGAACTCTGAAGCAATAGCTTATATATGGGCAGTATTGAAATCAACCCTAACACATTCCTGACCACCCATACACCTGACACACATGCTGATGATTTGAGAGGATTCATCTGAGGCATCTTTTAAATCTTCAAATTCTGTCCTGGCTTTCTAGGCTAAGTCATTGCAAATTCTGGTGATTGGCATGAAGTACAGCTTCTAGCCAGCAAGAAGGGAGAAATAGCTTGCAATTTGATGCAGTTCTATACAGCTCAGAAAGATTTTTCAATGGCTACAATAAACATTCTGAAAACAATGGCAAAACTACATTTAGAAAATTATGTCAAAGCTTCATTGTAATGACCTGATCCAGGCTGAATTTTCAGTTTAAATAACAAGCTAAAGCAATTTAGGAACTTTATGGGGAGTAAATGAAAAGATAAATGGCATTTCTTAAAGACAAAGAAGCAGCTGTTTATCAGAAAACACATAGGAAACACACTGAGCAACAAAAAACCTTCCAACCCTATGCCACGAACATAAACGGAAGAGATCAGTAGAGGCAGAATCTATCTATGGAGCAGCAGCACCGGCTGACTGAATTTTGGCAAACATCATTGCATAAAGCAGACCTTTGTAATATCCAACGTGTTGGTAATTTCCCAAATGTCACGTATTCCTTGTGAAGGCTGCCTAATTTCAATGATTGGGTATCACACTAGGAAAAAATAGCATTTCTGTGTGTCAGTCGTGGTTGTCCCTCATAGTCTATTATCCTGGATACACAGTACATTATCCATTGGACCCTTCCACACCAGCAGTTTTCTGAATGCTTATTCATACTTTGGATAGACTTTGGGTTAGTGCCTGTATTTCCTCCACAGCTATTTGTGTCCTTGTTTTTATTGCTTTGTAAGAAGAAGTTAGTTCTATTTGAGCATTATTTACTGTGCATGATGTTTTATCTCTTTGCTGCATTGCTTACATGCAGTTTACAGAATAGCAGCTCTGGTATAAAGGGGCATTTGGGGATTCACAGGTATCTCCAAAAACACCTTCATACCTCTTTAGGTACTTGAGCCAATAAACCCAGACTTTATGCTTTCCCTTTCTTTGTTCTTACTAAGACAATGCAGAAGAATGCAGAAACTTTGCTTATGTTTTCTCACTGTAGCAGCAGGCCGGAGGCATGAACATGATATCACAAGGAGGAAAAGCTGTGAATTCAGCTTTCCAACACACAGGAATAAATGAACTTTTAACCTTCCCCCAAGATCCTGGTCCTAGTCCTAGACAAACATCCTTAATAATACAATGTAGTAAAAAGAACAACAGGTTATGTGCTATAAGCTGCTCAGATAGTTTTGAAACAGTAAGCTTAATCTTGAGCTCAGAGATACATTTATTGCACACTGAGGGCAGAAAGGCATATAAATTCCTGATTTTCCAGGTGTTCTCACACAAGTATAAGCACAGATGTGTATCATATTCAGAATGATTATTCCATCCAAAATATGTCCAATGAACTTCTATGAAAGAACAGGTGTAGCTTAATTGCACATAGCAAGCACAAAGAATAAATTAAAAGAGAGAAAATAGCAGCATGCTCTTAGGTACTGTTGGGTTTCAGTAGTCTCAGAAATGTGTAGTATGGTAGTGGAGCTGCTTGAATAAGAATGAATTTTATTAGAGCACCTTAGTTTTAAAAAATAAATTGAAAAATAGGTGAATGTGTCAACGTTATGAAATCTGACAGGAGTTGTATAGCTGAAGGCAGCCTAGCAAGAAACCAGTGAAGAAGTGGATTTTTTTTTCTTGGTAGTCTGGTGATAATTGGAATCAAATATTGGACTCACATGGAATGAATAGATTTGAAAAATATATAGATATTTCTCACAGCCATCTTCATTTCTTGGTTGTTAGTAGAGTAAGTTTGTCAGAGTATGCCTTTGGAAAGTCCTAGTGTATTGTGCACATTCTTTTCTCCAGAGAATTATAAAATACATGGGACAGAGTGTGAGATTAGGATTCCCAAAACTATTGTCCAAAACACTAGCACAGGTAGTACAAAATGAGCAATAGCACGCTTCAAGTAGGACTGTTGGTAAATACACAATAAATTCTGAATGTATTTTGTATTAAGGATCAAGAAGGTGATGGAAAGTTTCAAATCATATAGTACAATAATCCATATGTTTTCCATAGTATGAGATGATGCTCCAAACAACAAGCAGAAAGATTTCTGGAGTATATGACAGATGGCTGTCCAAATGAATTTTAGGATATTTTGTGAAAACCCTATTAACTAGAATAATTTATGGGATGGGTGGGTGTGATTTGTTTGTTCTTTGTTTGTTTTTGTTGTTGTTGTTGTTGTTGTTGTTGTTTTAACAGGGAAAAGAATGAAAAGGAATTACATTTAAATATGCATCCAAACAGTAAAATTTACAAGGCTTTAATTACCCTAGGCATGATGTCTTTGAGAAGCCCTGTGTGAGTTAAAGAGAAAAAGATTTAAAATGTTATTAAGTTCTCTGATCATCTTTATCACCTGTCTCTGAGATCTTCAGAAGCCCAGTGGCTCCTCCTAATTTTAGGAGCCCTGCTCCTTCAGTCATGTAATGGAAAACGTATTGTGTTGTTTAGTATGTGACAAATCATGACAACGCAGCTAAGATTTCAAGTTCTGAGTATTAGAGAAAACTATTCAGAAGAAATAAATGTGAAAAAATTAATTAGGAAATTATAATAATGAATGAGGTAGAGTATCCTCTAGCGAATATTAAACAAATTTAAAACCAGAGCATTCACTGGATATATACTTTGTGATGGATTATATGTCTGTCTCTGCTTCAAAGTTCATGTTGCATCAATTAGTAGATATTGGTAGTGGGAACAGACGATTTTGGGATCAATGATAAAATATCATGTTCCAAAGGAAAACTGCTTGTACTAAATTGGTCAGAAAAGAATTACAAGAATGATGTAATGGCAGCACTGGGTAAAATGATGGATCTGAACAAAAAGGCTAATACTGACCACAACTGTAAGTGAAGAAACAAATCCATAAAAAAAGAGGAACTATCTAATACAGTCAATTGAAAATAGCTGGTGTTTAATTCCACGGATCATAAACAGTATGATTATTAGTACTTGTAGGTTCAAAGGCAGGAAATTAATTGAAATTGTGATTCTAGAAACAAAACTGACAATTGTGGCTTCTAAATAGTCTGTCCTGTATTCTAGAATTATTTTCCTGCAAATCTCCTCTGTGCATTTCCTACAAGGATTATAGCACACGTATTTATGACAACTTAGAATCCTAGCAAATTGCAAATTTGGGTAGCAGAAGACAAAGTAAAATGTGAATTACAGCTTGTCCTGTCACATAAAAATAACCAAGTTCTGTACTTTTGCAACTCCCAAACAGAGTCCTTTATGGAGTAAGTTGTTCACAGCATTTAGAGTAGTTGTGTGATACAATCGTGGGGTCCATGGGTAAGAAAAAAATCTGCAGGTAATAATTTTAAAAATCAGTAGTCTGGTTCTGAAAGAGAAGAAGCAATGACTTTGTTGCCTGTGAAAGAACTGTCGTTTAGATGGGTGAAGAACTTGTGCACTCCCATCTCAATGAACCCAAGTAATTCCTGTTAAGTTTAATCAGGTGGAATGCATATTTTGCGAGGAATTAATCACTTAATCCACCACAGCTAATGATACATAGCTCATGATATCCTTTGCAACATACACAGCATGAACAAAAAATCTTGATGCAAAATTCTGCCCACGCATTTCCCTTTTCACAGTGCAGGAGTGGAGACCAAGTCAGGGACAACTTTGATCTCTGCAAGCACAATGGCACAGAGACAGGCAGGGCAGGCTAGGCTTAGAGAGAGGATAAGCCTGGTGCTACTGCTGTGTGGCTTTTATGAGTACTGTGGAGTTACAGTTCAGGAGCTGAGGGGTTCCGAGCAGCCCAGGGCTGTTATGCAGGCAACAGAAAGGAGCTCTTCCCTGCCCCTTAAACAATGCCCTGAGTCAGGAAACTGTGTAGGAGGGCATGGCAACCACTTATAATATTTACCTCAGGAAATTCAGACTGGAAGGGATCTTTTAATCCATCAAGTGCAATTCCTTACTACCAAAGGCCTCTTTTCATGAGTTCTGCATCATAAACTGTTCATAAAATTCCTATAAAATGTCTTGGGCAGGTAGCTTTATTTTCAATTAATTACTCCTCTTCATACTCTGATATTTTGTCATTTCTTATGTGCATAACAGTTCTTAAAAATGGTGTACAACTCTCCTAAAATGACAAAAGCATATTTTTTAGTACCTCTCTAATTAGAATAAGGTAGCTGATATGTTCCTACATGTATGTGCTCACTGTGCAAATGCACATGAACTAGCTTTAAGCAAGTGAAGTCAGGAGTGAAGGGCTGTCACATTCAGAGCTCTGATGAGAAGCAGAATAAATTATTTTGTTAGGAAGTCTGTGCTCTTAGGAGCCAATCTGCTGATGGTGCTGCCAGAGCCAGGGCATGATTGTGTAAGGCTAATTTCAGTTTCTTACTGTGATGCTATAGGGTGCACAAAGGATTTTTTTCCTGGAAAGTCACCAAATCTTATGTTGTGACTGGTGTGGAGGGAAAAAAGCAGCAATAGATGAAGAACCAAGCCACTGGCAACATTTTTTGTATTAAGTATTTTTGATACTTAATAAAAAGAATTGTTGCCCTTAAAAATTGCTAGTTCTCAGTTGTTTCACCCGAAAATCACTTTCCATATTCTCTCTCTTGTAGTTGCCCAGTGAATGGCTGTGGCAATACTTCCTGCTGTTCAGAAGACTTATCAGGCAGTCATTAATGTCATGCAGATCATTATCGACAATCAGCAACCAGTTATTGAATTTCCACGTGTAGTATGGGAACAGGGCTCTGTTGTCCTACAAAGTTATTTCTGTAACATTAATGATTTATTTTTATTCAGAAATATCCCTTTCCTTTAATAAAGAATTGGATATAAAGTAGTTTTATGTTCTAAACAAAGCCATTTAGCAGATGAGGATTCAGTAGAACTTCTTCACCAGTAGGATTGTAAGCACTGGGACAGGCTGACCAGGACAGTGGTTGAGTAACCATCCTGGAGGTGGTATTCACAAACATGTTGGTGTAGTACTCAGGGACATGGTTTACTGGTGGACTTGGCAGTGCTGTGTTAATGGTTGGGCTTGATTATCTTAAAGGTCTTTTCCAACCTAAACAATTCTGTGATTTCAGGCTCATAATAATCGTCTTTAAATTAATAACTCACTTGGCTGCTGATATTAGAATTTGTAATTGTAAGTTAATGCTCTCTTTATCCAGTAGGGTCACAACTTTCTGTGTTACCTTTTGTCTAAAGAGCCTAAATGCACAGATCTTGCTAATTTTAACTGTGTCTCACTAAAGTTATCATGCTTACAGTATGTATGCTTACAGAGTACCATGTTTACAATACTATTATTGAAATAAAAAGGATTGATTCTATCAACACAGTTATCCCAGCCTCAAACTCAACTTTTCCATTATTTACTGTTAAGTTTAGAAATTCTACACTGGGATTGTGGAAAATCTCTCTAAGTGAACCAGTCTTAACATTACCCTCTTTCTCATGCTATTTTGTGCAGATTGAGACTGGAGATCTGGGAGATGTTTACAAGATTCGAGTCAGCTGTGATGATGTGCCAGGCTTTAGGGGCTGGCATCTGAAGTCTTTTCACTTACAAGAGTTGCATACAAAACAAGAACTGAACTTTGAGTGTAACTGCTGGCTCGTTCTTAAGAGAGAAGATAAGGAGTTGGTAAAAGAATTCCCTGCAGTCACTGGGGACCAGAAAACTTTTCCAGGTAAAAACACCGAGAAGATATAAAAACTGTAAATTAACTGCTTGAAAATAAATTGCTGCCACAGATATAATATAGTGCTTTGTCTGGATGTGACACCTTCAGTGGCTCTGTTGCACGTGTCTTCATATATGCACTGCAAGAATGCTGACCACTTAAATTTTAATTTTCCAGTTAAGTTGCATATTGGATTTTACAGTTGCTAAATCTTCTGCACAATTTTAAATGAGAAAACTGAACAATGCAATTGGACTTTTTAGGGAAATGAACATGTTCAAAGCCGTGGAAATGATTTATTCTAGAGTTACTATTGAATTACTTAGTTTACAATAACTACTTGCTAATGTAAATTTCAGAAGTAAGCCTTATTGCACAGAAAGTTTGTGGATTTTTTTTCCTAGGGACTAATTTTTTTTGCCATGCTGAGTTCTCAGGGATGCCCTTGGAAAGTGAAGACTTACAAAAGTCCTGCATTTGTTCAGAAAAGTTAGCAGTTACATATGAGATAAAAGTAATTAGAGACATGATTGCTTTGCTAAATTAAAGTTCCAGAAGTTCCCTGGGTACTCAAACCTATTCATGACCTTAAAAGAAAGTATAGTGTAACATTAGTTAAATGTTAACCCTGTAGGACTGTACATTAAAAATGACATTAGAAAAATTTTGGTTATTCTTTTTGTATGGGCCTGAATATATATGCAATTAAATTATCTTCCTCAGAAGAACATCTGATCTGACTACAGAAATTAATTCATACAGGGTCAGTATAGAGGCAGAGAATTTATAGTTTCTTTCCTTAAATTAGTAGGTGCATTTTGTAAATTTTTGTACTTATATATCATGCCATGTATCCAGATGCTATGTTGCATCTATTTCTTATTTAAATTTGCATAACCTTATTCTTATTCTTTGACCTATGTTGATTATTATCTATTTCAAAGATAATTCAGTTTTTAATTAGTTTTTAATTTAGTTCAATTCCTGAATTAACGCAAATTAGTTCTTACTTTCTAGAACTTGCACAGTAAAACAGAATTGGGCAGAATTTGCCTAGATTCCTAAATCTAAATTATAAAAGTCCTATTTCCTTCAAATTTCTAAGAAAGTGAATGGAAAGTCTTCATTGAACTTAGCATGAAGCAGTCAGATTCATAAAGAGTAACCTGATTATTTCGTTCACAGTGTAGCAGATATTTTTGTAGCTGCAGAAATAGAAAAAAAAACCGATGGTCTTTCTAAATATTCTGTGTTACTATTTTAAGTACACCTTGTACTTAATCAGTTTTAATTAAGCTTTTTCTTTTCTTTTTGTACAGTCTATAAGTATGTTGTTTCTGTACATATTGGCGACCGCTGGGGAGCAGAGACTTTTGCAAATGTTTATCTCACTCTCTATGGCAAAAGAGGGGACACAGGTGTGAGGAAACTTCAGACATCTTTAACAAAAGGAAGAAAATTTCAAAGAAATAAGGTAATGGCACCATACTGCAGCCTTGTATGTGCAGGGGTTAGCACTGCATTAAGTGTCGCTTAATGCCTGCCCAGAATACATCTGACTGCTAGATAGGCAAGAATTTGGAAACATTCAGAGAATTTATCTTCCAGATATTTACAATAGACCAATGCCTATATGCGTTATATATTTCCTGTATAAGAACATACCCACATGACAATAAAGGCTCCACATGGGCCATAAAAAGCAGATTAGTGGGGAGAATCTCTGTGATCATGCTTCTGACTTCTTCTGTTTCAAATTTAGGACAGAACAGGCAGTAAAAAAATTGAAAAATTGGTGCAAAATTAGTTACAGAATTTTCCACGAGACTTTTGCAGTCTATGATGTTTCTGAAACCACAATCCCACTTCGAAACAGCAAATCCATATCAATAAATTTGGACAAGATACAAAAATTCCACTTAGGAAAAAAATGCAGATAAACTCAGTGTTTCTAGATTACCTCTATAAATAAAATTCTTCTCCTGTGAATTAGACTTTCACTCACTGAACGAAGATATTTGAAGAAAGTCATGCCAAAGTGTCCATTGTCAAGGAGAGGCTTAAATTTGTGTGAAAGAATTTTATTAGTTAATTACCACTGCACTTGTTAGAGTAAAAGTGGAATTAGTAATGAACTAAGAGAATTTCTAAATTTCATTTCTGTGTTTTTCTCAGAACTATGGCTATATACAGAAGACAGCACAATATTATAATTATTATAATTTATGTTCATATGTGGATTTATTTCCTAAAATATCTTAGTTAATGAAGTTAATGATTTCTGCTCACAATTTGCTGTTGGGTTCTGGCTATTATTAGAAAAAAAGAGATTTTTTTGTCATATGAAAGTACTTTCAATATTAGTACCAGAAAATCTACTTCTCCAATATTTTATTTAAAAAGAAATAGGGACAAGACATAGAACTTTAGCAACTACTGTATTCTTTTAGAGATAAATTTGCTAATATCTTAGCTTTTTAATTGTTTTGACATCCAGTTAAGTAAGTTCCTATTACTGAATTGTTTTATTCAAATTATGGTGTTAATTATGTTCCTAGACACTGCTAGACATGTTCAAACTCCAGTTGCTCATAACTTTCTAACCTTTACCAGTTACCATGAGGTCCATCTGGTCTCTGGCTGGGCCTTATATAGAACATCTGGCTTTCTTACAAAACAAGTAAAAATTTAGGGGGGCATACAATTTCTTTCTTTGCATTTCACATTTTTCCGTATCCTGTTCCCAATCCTCATCTACTGCTGCTTGTGTTTACTTCTCTCATGTCTTTCTCTGCCTCCTCCATTCTGCTTCCCTCCCCATCTCTCGTCTTTTACTCTTCACTTTTATTTTAACTTCCTCCCTTACTGTTCTCAATTTGCTGTTTCCACAATTATTTTCATTCTATAAGGAAAGGAAAAAGTCAGTTTTTCTGATTCCTGGAGAAGAATTAAAAAGCTGTCTTGGAGTGAAAACACTCTTTATACTTCTAACCTTTCTTTACAACTATTAGTATATATATCTAGACTTGTATGATAAGCTTTAGAAACTAGATATCTGAAAGATAGAAATTTGATTAGAACCAAAAAATAACTGACTGTCAGAAAGTTGAGGTATATAGATATAATGTAATATGAAATGATTGATGCAGTGATACATATTGACCAATGATCAAATGAAATTATAATGCATCTTTAATGATGAATATAGGATTAAGTGGCAGCTCTAATCGGTGTGTACGTTCTTAGATTCAGCAGGGAGATGCTAAATTTTATGGAGAAACAGACTTTAAAATTTTTGAATTCTCAGATGATTCCAGGTTTATATTTTCCTTGAAGTTCAAGTCAAAATTCTGTTTAATTAAGTATTTCCCTGTTTTGCAGGTAGATTCATTTTTGGTGGAAGCTGTTTCTCTGAGTCAATTGCAAAAAGTGGTCATAGGACATGATGGAGAAGGCTATGGGGCAGGGATGTACCTCAAGATGGTGACAGTTAAGGAATCACCAGATTCAGATAAAGAATGGGTCTTTCCACTGTGGAACTGGCTTGATACTCATCTGGGTTTATGTGAGACTGTTTGTGAGATTGTAACAGTTGGTAAGTTCTGCAAAACTGACCTGCCCATTTTTATATACATTCATTTTACTACAGCTCTTTTAGAACTCTATAGTATGGTTTTTTATTGAAAATGTGAATTTTCAGTTTGATCTGAGTGTTACAGCAGAGCCACATCTGGTAAGGTCAAAGTTAATATAATTCTGTCTTGTCAGTGTGTTGTGTATGGAACACCTGCCTTCCAAATTAAACACAGAATATTTCAATGAGAGGTAAATAGCCAAGCTTGGGACATGCACCTCATGGGGATAAATAGCTTAAATTATATGCACTATTTTTCGGGCTGGAATCTCATTTGAAATCCAAAGAAAAATTATTTGAGTGAAATGAGCCTAGTCTTTACCTGTGAGAGTATTCCACAGCACAAAGCAGCAGTTCTGGTATGCTCGTTTCTGCTCATTTCACACCTACTACTACGCCATGATTTGTGCAAATCTAAACCTGGATATCCTTGCAAAAGGACACTTACAGCAGGACCTTTAGCCATTCAGAAGTAGTAAAAGATTTCTTCCTTCAATCCTGTGAAAACCATTCAATGCAAAGGAAATGAACTACCAAAGTTTGTCCAGAGTGAATAAGACACAAGGTGTTCTTGATTCAGCTGTGTGGTTTTTCTGAGTTGTAGAAAGTACATTTTTCAGAGCTATTCGTCTTCATGAAACCATTTTCACTTCGCCCAGAATGGTTAAAACAGAATTAAAATGAAGAATAACAGCAATTATTGAAGAAAAAGAGAGGAAGATAGTAATATTGATTTTCTAAGGATCTGGCAAATAATTTTGTGCATTTGTTATAGGTTACCTGTCAGTCTCATACTATTACAGCACCTATTATATTGCTAGGTAACATCTAGTGACAAGCAAAGTTCATTAGAACTGTTCATTTTGCATTAGGTGTTACATGCTACATATGGCTGCATGCTCTTAAATGATAAATTTGCTTTAGTAATACTGATTGCTTTTTTAAAGAACAATTACTTAGACCTCTAAAAGGTGACTGAATATTCTCTAAGCAATTACTTCCAAACATGACAAAGAAAATACATTGGCATACAAAAATGCCATTAAATCTAAATTTTAAACACAGAAAGAACATTAAACTGCTAAATTCTTCACAAAAAAAAATAATAAAGATATTGATGTGTTATTCTTAGTGAGCAGTTGCTATAGATACAACATAACCTGCAAAAAGGGCTTTGTTTGTGTACTGTAAAGGCTATGGTCCTGTTAGATTATGCCATTCTCTCATGCTGTCATCTTTCCTTTCTCTTTGGTAATTTTTAAAGGTAGAAGGTCGACTCTCAGTCCTAAGCTGCCTGAAATCAACACGAAGTCATCAGGTTTCTGGATAATGGATGTCACTGGATCTGACTTGAGTGGTGAAGAGGATCCAATATGCCTTTCTTTTATCTTCTTCGGCAAATTGAGTCACAAAAAGTTGCCACTTCAAGTCACAGGAAAAGCAATTCAGATTAAAGTACTTCAACCTTTCTCTGTTGCAACAAAAGCCTACGAATCATGTAGCCAATAATCCACTTAATTCTGAGATAAATTGTTTCTTTAAACTAAACTACCAAATTGATTTTTAAGTCCTCTGTGTAGTTTGGCACAGATCATCATTTTTGTTTGTAGGTAGCAACACATGAACAATGGTTTTTGAATGAGCAAATTCTCCCAGTGTCTCATACTCAGAATGTTTAAGTGAGAGAATTGGTCCCTTGGTGCATATCACAGTGTGCACCACGCGGCAGGTACTGATTTACAGGCTTTGTTGATCTCACAGAAATCAGCAATTTGTAAGCATACAATATGCCATGGGATACTGTAGAGCTTTTGGGGATGATGATAGAGAAGGAAGAATCATAAATGAGATTAAATGCACAGATGCACAGAAGGTACAGAAGGTTAATTTTTCTCTTTTCTCTCTCATGTAATTTATTCATCTCTGCCATCAGTTTCTCTGAACTGCTTTTTCTAGTATGATTTCTCTTTTTCCCCCTGTTATTTATTGTCTCTTCCTTTTTCCTCCTAATAAATTGAATTTTATGATTGAGCTAAAGAAATCATCTGTTGTATTTTGATGCTCCTCTTTTCTTTAATGAAAGAGGAACTAAGCAGACTACACTAACCACAAACATGATCCAAAATGAGGAGTACTCAGAGGGTTTTTCTGAGTTATTTCCAAGAACCTCTGGTAAATAAAAAAAAAATAGATGAAACTGGAAGTGCCATGTAAGAGGAAAGGCTGAAGTCAGGTCACATGGACTTCTACTATCTGAGCATATCTAAAATGAAAGAGTGGGGGAAAGAATCCAAGAACTGTCGAATAGGAAAAGACAACTTCTGTTTTCTCCCTTTTTTTTCCTTACAGTAAAAATAATATTGATTTTAAACCACAAATGCTAATATTTAAGGCCTCCTCTGCGTTCACTTACTCAAGCAATGGTATGTCCTAGATGGTGCATTATCCCCAGAAGAACTAGATTGTTTTTTTCTTCAAGTATGAATGCAAGATTTTAATATAAAACTTCTATGATCTAGAGTGAGGATGAAGGATCTCTTGGATGTTTCCTCAAAACTGAATTAGCTTTCCTTCAATTTTATAATTAATTGCATCATTTTTTATTATTGTAAGAAATATTTCCAATAATGTCCAAATTTTAAAAAATTGACTAAAGCTTCTGTGCCTGAAAATAATCTACTGAATCTGTGTAATATATATGAACATTGTGCCCTGTTCTGTGTACAAATTTCGGCAGTGACTGCTGTTGCTTGTTCCTTAATATCAAACCTCAAGCATTCTATCTCCTCATTCGTGTTTTTAAATCAATTTTGTATTGATTAGAAAGGGGAAAAATAGTACTAGTTATAGATCTGCCTCAATTTTTTAACTACTGAAGTTTGTTCAACTGTTGCATACAGCTGCCAACTACATTTGTTCTGGCACAATTGAAATGAGATCCATTCATCTTCTCTTTCTCCTCACCCAGGATGAACTGGCAGATATTGGCTCTATATACAAAGTTCAGGTAACTGGCCCACACAGTGAGCTAAAACAGCCATGGCACTTAGATTTACTGCATATGAAGCACACAGGCACAAAGGAAGAGATGTATTTAGCTTTTGACTGCTGGTTCAACCCTAAGGAAGATAAATGTGTGGAGCTGCCAGCTCTCTATGCAGATCAGGAGCCTTTGCCTGGTAAGCTATGTCCTTTTCTGTTACTGGGGTCAGGATCTGTCTCTGCAATACCAGTATATCTCTTTTGGGCCAAAAATACTGTGTGAAGATCTCCATAACAACTTGACATTAAGGAATGTGATGGTTTTGCACATGCATTTACCACAAAAGAGAAATCATTGGTATGAGGATTATGAGAGATCCTCTAACTACTGATACCAAACGTAGTATTTGGCTTCTTCCACATTAGATGATGTTCCAGTTTTAGCTCTTGATTACTTATTATCACTTCAAATTAATGCTATGTCAGCTGAAGATGAGTACAAAATATCATCTACTGTGTGATATTGTCTCTTCCTATTATTTGTCTCTTACTATTCACAAAGAAATATATGTGATCTAGAAACATAGTAAAGGAAAAAAATGCAGACCCCTTACACAGGAAAGGTAAAAATTTTAAAATGCCACACAGTCAGCAAAGAGATATCCAAGAATTTCAATTACACTAGTGTTTTATTGATGTCAATGAGAAATTTGTAGCACAGCAAGTGATATTCTACAAAAATATACATGAAGTTGCATGTTTCTCTGCTGTTATTAACACATATGAATGGTATGATGCCAGAGAGATAATTAAGTGATATAAATAAGTGATTTCTGTCAATCACCTCCCACCAGCCCCCTGGAACAACCAATTGTATACTGATAACTCGATCACCAGTACTTAAGGACAAGCTTCCCATTTATTCAGCTCATTAGAATAAAGGGGATTGATGGAGAGAGTAAAGACCATATATTGAGGCTTTTATTGCCAGTTAAGAGGTTTATTGCTAGAGGCTATAGTACAAAGAGTGCTCTGCTTAAATGGAAACTAATAGAAAAAGACGGAAGCAGCCCAGAAAAAGAAGTAAAATAGACCACATGGACTTTTGCAGAACATTCTCTAAGGAGAGTTTCCTAAATATTTCATCCAACTTAAAGCTGAAACTTGAAAAAAAAACAGCAAAGATCTTCTAAATTTCTGGTTTTGTGTGGGTCTGCATAATTTAAAAAATTGTCATCTTGTATTCATGTACTGAAAAATGTTACCATTTTAGACTTTTGATCCATAAGATTCAAAAAACCATTGGATGCTGGATGTAATATATGCTAGATGTCCATATTCAATCATTAATATAGTAATTCTATTAAAAGGCTCTATTTCCCTAATTAATTTAAGAAAAAATGAGAACTGTAAATATGAACAATTATTTTCTGAATTCAAACTTGTTAAATTTTTTACTGCACATAAAAGGTAGAGATATTTTAAAAAATTAAAATTCTAGACTACAGCTCTCATAGCCTCTATTATGCAAAGAGCCAAATGGAAATACTGTCTGAAAGCATTATTCTGATATGTAAAGTAATTAATTATTGAGGTATATTAGAAATTTAGGGTGTTTTTCTTGGAAAATTTCTGGGAAAAGATGTGCATATACTCTCCCTCAAAAATTAATTCATAGATGGGAGTATCTACCAACCTGGAAAGTTTCTCACAAACCATTTTGTGGAGTCCAGATTTATAACTAGAAGTGTTAATATTGCTTTTATTCTTTGTGGTCCCAATACTATTTCAGTCTAAAATTTCTTATTTGTTATATTCTGGTTTTATTCATAGACATGCACACAAGAAACTAATACAAAATAATAAAAAATTAGTATGTATTTACTCTCCTATCTTTAATTTATGGTTGTTTTTTTTTTTCCTTTTTGAATGAGTGTTGGGCGATCATTTTCAGTTTTGTAATATGTTCGCTTACATCTGAAAGAGAATTTTTATAAATAAAATTGGGAAGAAACAAAGAATGACAAGCTTGAACAGAACACCTTGTTTTAATAGATTTTTGTTGTTGGGGTATGCTGTTCATATAGAACACAATCAGAATGGTCACAAACTCAGCCTAAAAATTTTTACCCCATTTTCCAGCATCCCCTTTCTGTTATCACTCCTACTATGGCTACTGTGTATACTTAAATTTGAATACTTAAAATTCACTTAAGTAGTGGAAAATGAATAGGAAATATTTCCTATGACTACATTGAGCTTTAAATTATGCATTAATAGATTCAGCAGATTTAGCTGAAAATACCGACTCAGCAGAAACTACATACATTTCTAAGCTAAGCTTGTGATTCTGTGTATTAATGATTCAAATATTAATGGACAAAAGCAGTAAAAATGTGAGCACTGTGATTTCTAATCTATCCCTACAGAAGTGATCAGACACATGGACCAAAATATTTTTGATCTTATTCATACTGGTAGCCTTTTGACTTCAACAAATCTGCTCACATGGCCCTGTTACACATTCAAGGCAACACTCTGAATGAACAACACAGAAACTTCATATCCTGACTCCCCTGAAAGCAAAATGCCATTGGCTAAATGCTAGCTACACTGTCACCTGGACAGCTCATGTATTTTCAACTATCTGGAACTCCAGAAAGATCAAGTCTGTGTAGTTGTGCTGACTTTAATGCAGCTACGTTGTCTTTTACCTGGCAGTGCAGAGTTAACTCCCTTGAAGAGAGGAATGAGATATGTTAGGGCCCTAGGCTGGGAAAACTCTTGGTTTACTTCTTATCATCAAACATGAGTGATACCATCAATTATAAGAACTTTCCCAGCCCTTCCTTTAAATTATTAAAAAAAAAAAAAATAATCCCGGGGGGTGTCTCTGAAGCAAGCAATGCTGCAGTGAAATAAAGCTACTTTTAAGCAAACAGATTTTCTCAGACATCATCCTTATGAAGTAAAAGGTAAAGAGAAATAAATACATTTCAGAAGTTTATTGAAACGAGCACACTTTTATTGGCAGACTTATACAGCCCTTATTATTTAATGAATCCTTTTCAATATTAATTTTGCAGTCTACACAAACATTGTCTTTAAAACCATTAATCCCTTTATGGTACCTTTTTATTTCACAAATAGAAAGAAATAGCTATATAGGATGTCACAATACTTAAATTCAGACCTTTTGATTATAACACTCAACATGAATAGCACCTACTTGTGAAAAGAGCTGTAAGAAAAGCTTAAAATAAATTTCCTCGGAACACTTTTTTCCTCCTCTCTGTTTTCCTATCACCTACGCATGAAACTAAACGACAGTGTTAGTTTCTGGGTTCATTGAATCATTCTTAAACATACTAGAATTTTCTAATAATGATAATATTTTTAAAGAATGTACAATTTTCTTATAGAGACCATTTCTATAGTGGAAAAAATTGATTGAAGAAGAAAAATGTACTGAGAATATCAGATGTTTCAGGGATGTATGCTTAGATATTCATGTATCCTATGATATGCATTAGACTGATGTGTATTTCCGTGCTCTCTAGCTTGTACTGTCAGCTGTGAAACTGAAAGTGCTTCGTTTCTCCTCGGTTTCACGTCTGTCTAAAGCACCACTCCCCTCTTTTGCACACATGACTTGCCTGGCAAAGCAGATGTTGTAGAGCCAGCCAGCTTCCAGGGAGGGACAAGAGGCAGAGTGAGGCTGGAAGATTTTCTCCAGCATGTAAATGTCACATAGTCTAGATGTTGTCTATATTTTACTGCTACAGTGAAGAAAGTTGGGGGAGTAAGTGCTAATAATATTTGATGGTCAAAGATAGCTCAGTACTTGTAAAATGCTGGATTTTAAGGCTGCTAAGTTCTTAAAAAAAAAAAGTCTTCATGTTTGTAATAAAAAAGTTAAAGAGATAATACAAATGTTTTCGAATACATTCTTGGTACATATGCATTGCTTATTACCTTCATCCAAAATGTGACTTTGCATTTTACAGTGGAGAAAATGATCCTTAATAAAAATATTAGTCGTATTTTACAAACATGTTGCTGCAAAAGTATACCTTTTATTCTTAGGCTGAAGAAATGATTCCTGTGGCTGGAAGCAGAGGAATTTTTAGATCATCTAAGTTTAGACTCCTGAGTTCTAGTGTTTATCTCTAGAATGTGTGGGAACCCATCAGAGGTGTTTTCTATAGCACCTGCCTTCCCCTGCTGACTACATAAGGATCTGAGCCTTAATATAGATCCCAAAGTTAGAATCCTAAATTGGCAGTATCAGCTCATTACACAAATGAGCTCAAATGTATACAAATTATACTTATTATTATAATCCGAATTAAAGCACACAACACCAGAAGGAAAATAAAATCGATCCCCCAAATCCCTTCTTATTTTGTCCTGGTGTCCTTGCTGTTAAAATGCAAATAACAGTTTGAGATTGTGACCTGCTTCTGTTTAAGTGTTTCCTTGTTCCTTGTTCCCATGATAAACTCAGGGGCTGAAACAGGTAATTTAAAAAGTGAACATAGGAGATTTCCATGAAGTTTCTTTGGCATGAATTCAGTCTGGTCTCATCTGCAACACTTCCCTATGTATTGTGACAAAAAGAGGCAAGGAAGCAGAAGCTTCATATAGGGGACATAGGTGTCTCTTCTTCTCTGTATTACGACCGCAGCTGAGAAACTCAGGAATGCTTTCCCTTGAAATCAAAATTCACTTATTTGACCTGGATTTGTGGGCTATTGTATCATTAATGGTAGGTTTTTCGGAGAATGATAAAAAATGTCAGGAGACTTTTCTATTTATGTGTTAAAGCTGATGTTGAAAGAATTTTTAATTAAGAACATTGTGATAATATTATGGCCTAACTAGTGATAAATTAAAGTACAAGGAGGGAAAACCAAAGAAATATCAGTAAATAATCTTAGAAAGAAACAATTAGACTTTCTGAAGAGGATGGAAATACAGCTTTTTTCTTAAAAAGAATTTCCTGCCTTAATGGAAGGGGACAGTACACAAGAGATCCTGTGCCCCAAGGAGCAACCAGCTGCACTTATTTTCTGGGAATGGTGTCAGAACAGAGCAAATCTCTATTCTCTAGATTGCCATCCTCTTATGCAGCAGGAATGTTTTTTGGTTATGAATGTCACCAGGACTGAAGAGACCTTGTTTGGTAGTACAGTATGGGATTAGGGTGGAATCTGCAACTGTTTCAAGAATTGGTACATAATGTGGGTGTCAGGCAAGAAGACAAGTGTTTTCATCTGCTGACTTTTTGGGTTTCTTTGCCTATTTTTTGTGAAGTTGTGGAATATGAAATCCATTTGCACACGGGAGACTTGAAGAAGGCAGATGCCACTGGAGAGGTTTATCTTCGTATACAAGGAGAAAAAAGTGACTCGGGGAAGCGCTGGCTTAACTCCAAAAACAGCCTGATCACTTTTGCTAGAGGGCAGGTAAAATAATGAGGAAAAAATGTAACTGAATCTGTGAGTGTCTTTTTGTTAGAATTTATACTTTCAGAAAACCTTTCATGGATAGAATATCAAAAATATTAATGTTTTATATTCCATATAGTGATTGTCTCCATAGCTAACATATTGCTGTGCCACAGTAAAACAATTAAGGTGCTTAAGTAATTCTGAGTTGGGCTAAAAAATCTCTAAGAGTTCTGCTTTAATACTCCAGACTTTTAAGGCCAGGGAGGCATCACTGCTATATTAAAATATGCCTGCTTGTTAGAACTGATAACATTTCTGTAGGATAACTTACATTTGTAACCACTCCATCTAAAGAAGTCTGTGAACTTTTCTTGTTAACTTTCCTGAACACTGTCAGTGTTCCAAGAAGACTCCTATTTTTCATGTTTCAAATTTCTGCAGCACTTCTTGGTTTTTGGTAAACATATTGTTGCTTTTTGCGATTAAATGGCATTTCCTAGAAGAGTAATTCCTCGAGTAGTTATTGGCATAAGAACAAAGTAACTAAAACAGACTTCAAATCAAACGGAAATATCTCTTTCGAATCAGAAGAACATGTCTAGCTGATACTTTATTAGACCCTAGTGTTTAGAATTTCAGCCTGGATGGTTTTTTTCTTTAAAGCAAATGATGAAATCATTGTGGAGTACCTAGAAGTCTTGTTTTGGGGAGGGTGGCAGAGAGTATTTTGCTGTTGCCAACCAGGCTAGAGTAGTTTCTTTTCTGGTGCAGAAAGCTAGAGAAATGTATTTGATATATGCTTAATTTATTCTTACACATACCTGTGTTTATTTCATCAGCTTCTCTTACTGTTTTTAAAGATTCTAGAAGATACAAGGTTTCTGTAGGAAAAAGAAAGCCAGATATTAATCATTATGTCCTCTGTAGTTTCTTTCTCCATTGTGGAAGAGAATATGCATGCTCAATGTCATGCTGGTCAAGAACTGATCACACTGGTAGCTCAGAGTTCACAAGTGAAATCTGAAAATAATGACAGAATAGTAGAGCTCATCTTGTTTGAAACAGTAATGTAGGAAGTTGTATAGATTTGTCATTTTGATGATAATAGATAATAGTCCTGTGTAGCATGTCTTAAGGATAGTGTCTTAGAGAAATCTGAACAGCAAGACTGCCTGCTACAATGGATAAGGTATCATTATAGACCAGAAGAGGGACAGATTCCTGGTTCTTTCAAAAACCCAAACTGACCTGACCTTTAAAAAAACCATTTATTTTATAAGAATGTGTTACGGTTTAGCCAAGAATAAAACTTGTAGAGAAAAACCTGAACAATAGCACTTGACTTCTGTGAATACTCACTCCTGTGGAAGTACTACTCATCTGCAAATTCACAAGGATTTTTTCTGTATAATCCAGATTCTGTGTCAGTTTTTGAACAGGCTTGTTCAGGCTTGCTAAATCCTTCCTCTGAAATTCTAAAGGGCTTTTATATATCCTGAGCTATAAGACCCTAATCTTCTTCTCATAGAAAAGATTTCGAGTAGCAACTCTTTGGGTATTCACCCTGTTGCAGTTCTCTTTACTCCAATTTACCTTCAAATGACGAATACTCTGTTCTTAGTCAATGCTCTTCCTTTCCTAGATGATTCTTTTTATCAATTTTCTCACAGAAACTGAAATTCTGGAACTATGCAACTATGGGAACAATGCATGGGTTTTATTATTTTTTTCAAACCCACAAACTAGTCCTCAACTGTTATATTCAAACTTGCATTTTCAACCCAACTTCCCAAGACAATTGCTTCTGTGTTGAACAGAACAACTCATGAAGTCACATGAAATAAAAGTCTTAGCTGTAGAGATTTAATTTTGCAGCTGGTTTCTCAAAATATTAAATGAATCCATTCATAAACGGTATGCTTCCAAACCTCATTTCTTCAGGCCCAGTTAAAAAAAGACAACAAATACACATTTTAAGCAATGTATGTTCCCAGCGTCAGTGCACACACTTATGTAAGTTTTCCCAGAGATTATGAAGATGAATGCTCAAAGAAGAAGATGAACATATCTAGACAAGAAGGTGAATAAAATATAAAGATTTAGGGTATGGAAAAAAGGAAAGACTCCTTGAAGTCTACTGATCATTCAAATCTGTTACATGTAGAAAATTTGACCTATTATAGAGATGATTTCAAGGAGGCATTCTGATCCCAAAAGCTTAGTGATTGAAGTCTTCACAGATACCATTCACTCAATTCTCATTTACTCACCTAATTCCCAGTAAATTAATTGTGAATTTTAGTAAAAATGAAATTGTTCCATATTTTCCAAATTATTAGACATCTAGTATTTATCAGTTTTAGTGGAAGTTAGATTCTGGACTAAAGTAACTTTCAAGACACTGGGAATTGATCTGATTTGGTTATTTCAGTCCATGAAGGTATGAGAAATGAGAACTTTATTGCTAGGGTGTGTATCTGATTCAAAAATTTCTTCCTACTAAATACAGAGGCATTCTGAAATTCATAATTCATAATTCCAACTGGATAAGAAAAGATGAGCTATAGTACATAATATTAAATTATGAAGTCAAAGACAATGAAATAGCATAGATGAGATAAATTTGCTTCCATCAAGGTACAAAACAATGACCAGACACACCAGGTTAATCTGATAAATACTCAAAACCAGAGCCCTATTAAGTTTAACTAAAATACCATTTTGATTATTTTTCTATTGCAGGTGGATATTTTCAAAATCAAAGCTGTATACCTGGGGAAATTGAATCAAGTTCATGTCGGATTTAAAAGTCTAAGAAAAGGTCAGTAATTTTTTCAGTTAATATAAGGTAATAATGATGTAGATTTTTAGATTTAGGTGATCCTAGTACTTCAGAAATGTCTGAAATTTAACACAAAAGTGGTTTTTTTAAAATTCTAGAAAATAGGAAATTGCTTTTCATTTTCTGCTGTTCATTTCTTTTGGATTATACATGTCAAGTAGCTCGATCCAGCCTGGTTTTACTAAAATGTGCAAGAGATTCCAAGAAAATGTTGTGACTGTAAAATGGCAAAATTATATATGAAACTTTTCTCCATTTAAGTTTCTATCTTTTTATAAGCACAGTCAACAAAGCTTTTGTTTTTCAGGAGGCAATATGACATCATACTTTTGAAACTTTTGTAAATTTCATCTTCCTGCACATTTTTAGATTATGGATAGGTAAAAAAAATATTTTATTTTCAGGGCTATATGTTTCTAGCTAAAAATAAGAACATAAAATTTGTTCATTAGATTGAGAAGTGGAACACAGAAGAAAGGCTGTTCTGGCTTTACAGGTTCTTTCCTTCTAATCCATGCAAAAATATTTTTTTAAGGGATCCTACAAAAGTGAGGTTGACTGGCAGATAAAAAGGCTGCATTCCTGCAGCATTTTTTCTTATCCTGCTTCTGACTCCAAGGCAGCTATTATAGCTAAAAAAAATGCTTATTTCTTGAAAATAAATACAAACAACAGAGAGTATAATGAATCAATCCTTGGGGCTACAATTTTGGCCCATTGTTTTTTAAAGGCAACAGAATAGAGATTCTACAGGCGTTTTACTCCTGCAGATAATGGTGATAATGGAAATGATTGTTCCAGAGTATGATAACCTGAGTCTCTTGTTCTTTCTTCTTTTCTGAAAAACCCCGAGATTACAAAATGACTCTGTAGGTTAAACTCAGACTCAGAAAAACAGGCTGAGAGACTATTTCCTAGATGGTAACATTAAAATGAACAATCAAACTTTCATTCACTTCAGCAAGACTAGGAGTGTAACCAAGTTTATCGAGACTCAGAGATCTGACTCTACAAATGTTTTGTTTCCAAACAATCATGGTCTCAAGTTGAGACAAAATTAGCTGAAGTTTACTCCTTATTATATAGAATGGAGCCTCCTCATCAGAAAGCAAGCTGTATCTTAAGTCGATTTTCTGATGGATAATGTCATAAAAATCCTGATCCTTTTTTCATCAGGACATTAATAATATAATTTCCTATTGGGGTTTCTTGTGTCTAGAGATTGCCTACAGAAGCCTTTCCATACTTGAGATGTAATAGATCATTATAGCAAATCTATCCCTACATTTAATTTCACAAGATCTGTAAAAACATTGAGTATTTTGGAGTGTAGTGGGACAGACAGAAACACATACACATAGCCAATATATTTTCAGTTTTATTTCCTTAAAAAATCTGTCAAAAGAAAACCTTTTCTTTGATTTAATTAAGGTAGAAACTTATGACTGCATACACAGAATATTTTGTTGCTAAAAAGGTAAAAATTAATAATGTCCTGTTTATTTTCAATCAGATGGGTGGTTTTTGGAAAAAATTGTTATAAAAGAAGTCTTCTACCCTTTTTCTGCACATGTTTTTTTTCACAATGGCTGGATCAATAAACGCTCCAAGGAAGATTTTGTAGAAGTCGCAATTCTGCTCAAAGGTAACACAAGCATAAGTGTCCTTTGTTTCCATGAATCACTCTGTGTGGCAGAGCAGATCACAACTGCTATAAGGTTACCTCACACAGCAGGAAGAACTTAGCACTGGTACCCCAATGGTGAGAGGCATGGGCCCAGACCAAGGTAAATCATGCCTTCTGTAAACAAAGGGGAAGAAATTATGCCTGGGATGGAGAAATTTGAAATGGCAGTGTTGAAGGGTTCTTCTCTGGCAGAACATTTCCTGTCCTTGGAACAATACAAAGCAAAGAGGCATGGCCTCTGTGTGAGTGTGGCATGGATCCATGAAGCCACTGGCCTGGTTTTCTACCCCTCCATGGGACTAACATGAGAAATGAGGGGTTTGTGGCTTCATTGCCTGAATTTCCTCTGCTACATCCAGCTCTACCAGGCAATATAATATTTTGTTTATACTGCCTTATAACAGGTAGGGGCTCTAAATACTGGTTTGCTTTTCCTGCAGAAACATCTATGACATCTCTTCCCATGAAAAATTTAGATACAAAAAGTAGAGGACGATGGCAAACATGGGTGCATTGCACACAAGTACCAGAAGACCTTCCTAACATTCAAGTTGTTGCATTTGGAAGAAAAGGGAAATCTCCTGCACAGAAAGTTCAAAATCTAAGTGATACTCCCTTTTTGGTTGGTTTCTTTTCTATTTCATACAATTTTTACCAAATAGTTTCAGTAAAATAAGAATTGCAGCCAATATGTATATCATTATGTGGACTGGTTGTTTGTTTGTCAAGAGTTAATGTTTATACCTCTATGTCTTAAATAAACACAGCTTGGAGAACTTCTCATTTGTGGGCCAAAACATATCACTTAGGAAAACTCTTCTGAGAAAATGCCAAATTTGATGTGGAAAACCTCGCTAACTTTGAATTAAGTAAGGAGAAAAGAATCGGCCTTGAAAATACAGAATTCAATTATATATTTCCTTCCTTTTGTTGTGCTGACCTGTGCTCTGCAACCAATTCCCTCACTGAAAAATAGACATAATTTGTGATACAAATGTAAGTCCAAATTAACTGGCACTCTTAATAGGACTTCCTCACCCTAGCACTAACTTCACTGACTAATATTTTTACCTGTTGTATTTATGTTTTTATTTGGCTTAAAGTATGCCATGCAAACTGTTGCATACAACATATCATTAATTATTACTTTTTTTTTTTTTCTAACAGTTAACCATTGGTGATATTGGGGATATAACAAAACTCTCTTTTGTGTTATGTGGTCCATCCTTGAGAAGAGGAATTAAACTTCACAAGGTATTCCAAATATAACACATATAAGCTTGCAATATTTTTCAACATAGAAGTAAATAACTTTTGTTGAGACACAGATGGTCTCAGTTACCTGGTATCTACAGATGACTGCCTACAGCTTGCAGATCTCGTTGTGGGCAGCTTGACCTTGTTTGCACCTGCTGAAGTGCATATTGCTATAGTTCTTCACTGATGTGCAGACCCATTCTGCACAGTTCATTGTAACATGGAAGGCAGTGTTTCCTTGTCAATTCTGGCATGGAAATACTGACAGTCTCCAAACTCAGACCAGCCTACCTGTGGAAGCCAATTAAGATAATATTCAATATGTATTCTTTGCAACATGGCCATCAGTGGGCCTTAAACCTCTGATTGTAGTTTAATACATCTATAAGAATTCTCATAAAAAAGAATGGAGAAAGGACTTAATGTTGTCAATCTTAAAATAGAATTAGAATTTAAAAGTTTAATACTTAAACTTGAAGGTTAATTCAAGGAAAAATTGTTTCAATGAGCTCTGCCTATAGGCAAGAGCAAGACACCCCATTGTGGACATAGCACTGAATTAATCTGAAGTAGAAGAATGCTTTCCTGAACTGAGCCACAGAGTCCCTTAACCCTGCTATGGATTTGAAAGATTAAGGTGATTACTTAAATGCATAAAGACTCCAGAAACTGTTCTGATAGGAAATGATAGGGACAGCTGCATTCCAGACTAAAATGTGAATGGGCTTGTGGCACTCTAAGGACCATTGAGTCTGAATTTATGAGCTCCTCTGGGGATAGAGGAGGAGTTTGTCTTACATTTTCTCCCCAGATATGTTCTGTATCATCTAAATTTGTAGTCTCAGTTTAGGGTATAAAAATGGAAATAACAGGTAAGCAAAGCTGATTTCTCATTTTAAATATGCATCTCCAGGCCATTTGATAAAGCATTCAAAAATATTTTGACACTACGTTTAATATATCCATTATGTTATAGAAGTCTTTAGCCTTCAGACTTGGTGGCTCAAAATATTGCAGAAAATTCATAAATTTAATAGTTTGCTTTCTGCTTTCTTTTTCAAAACAACTCTATGCACCTGGCTAAGTGGTTTTTTGTCTGTACTTTCAAATACTTCACAGTTCATTTAATGATTGGTTTATTAGTAGCTATAAATTGTTATAATCTACAAGAAGTCAGTAGGTTGCTATAGAGTCAAGTAGTCTCTTGTATGCATGTGCAACCCACAACATAAGCCACAATAGCATCTACTGCTTTTGCCATTAATATGCTTACAATATCTAATACTAATTTATTAGCCTATTTATAAATTAGTTATTCATGGAAACATAATCTAAAATGTTACAAGTTGGTCTCACTCTAGTAGGATTCTTACAGTACAGTAAAAAACAGATGTTGTATAGAAACAGAAAAATTACAGGCAACAGTCAGGATGTTTGAACCAGTGGTCATACCCAACTAAATAAAATTCCCTTCTTTGATTTCTTTTTAAGTGGAAGAAGTAATATTCAAAGTTCCAGAAATTTCTCAGACACAGATGAAACTGCAAAAAGGAGCTAAAATCCCTACATTCATTTTGCTACTCTGTCTTCTTTATTTTGATGTTTACAGGGTTCTTCCAAGTACCAAAGTTGTTCCTGATACCTCTTACAGTTTTCTGAAAAATTTTGTAGTTAATTATATAACCTTAGCTAAAATGTATGTATTTTCTGTAGCTTCTGAAGATTTATGTACTATAGAATGAGTAACTATTTCTTGCTCAAAAAGAGTTGCTGGCCTTTCCTAAAATAGAATACAAATCCATTTTTTAATTCTTGTTTAGAATATAGAAAAAATATTTGATTTGAAGTTCACACTTAGATATAATAATCTTAGAGCTAGCAAGAATTTGTCAGGTATGTTTTATTTTAAGGCCAAAGTCTGCATAAATTTGCACACCTCATTTTAATGAGTTCAGTTTCTGCAGGCTGTCTGCCTGCATATGCAGGTAAACCTTAGTGCAATTTTAAGACAGATAGGAGTTTGTGATATGTATTGATACTTAGTCAGGGTTGAACATATTGATAGAAGTTAGGGGGAAATATTTTTGTGTAAAAGAAGCTAAAAATTTAAAAGAAAAAGATTTTTTATGGCAAGTGCAAAAATAGGGGATTGCAATTTTAGTGAAATTCAATAATTTCTAAATAAAACTACCTTTTATTAAAGTAATTAATGGTTTAAGTCTGGAAATGGTCTTGGGGTATTGTTTACTTTCATCTGGAAGCCCTGTGACTGATCTTGTAAAGCACTGGACAGAATGAATAAGCAATAATGGAAAATGTTAGGTCATTACATTTCTAAGAACTCAAGGGCAAGACAGGCTGATACAATTTTTAAGAGTGGAACTGTCAAATTCCCAATAATTTAATTTATCTCATTCAATTATATAAATATTTATGCATATCAAAGCTTGCAGTTGAAATCTGTGTGAGGAAACCTGTACTCAGGATTTTCCAAACACTTGTATGTGTGTTCTGTACGATGAGCACAAGGTTTTGCTTTTGCAGCTGCTATCAGTACTGGAAAGAAGTGACCACAATAATTTTGGGAATCCTTCCCTAAAAATTTCGATTACTTACTCCCCTGATGAAATTAAGTTTTTGTTTCTTTTTGTTTCCTTTTATTTTAAATGTCTTGGATATGCTATTTTTATACAAAGGGTTTCTGAAGACTGAAGAAACAGTTTCTGCAAACATTCAGTCATTAGCTATTTATGAAGTTCAATATTGCATGTAATAGTTACCAGAAATGTTTCTGCATATACTTGATAGATTTTCACTCTGTATTTTATAACCTGACCTAGGATAGAGTACATGATCTGAGTTGACCACCTCGACCCTCTCAGTGGGGATATGTGAGCTCCTGGGGTTGTGCTTCCTCAGCTGGTTTGGACGTTCTAAGTCCACAAACTTGGAACAAAATTTCTTCACTCTCCAATAAATATTTAAAGCCAAGTAGAATGAAGCTGGAAGTAAGCTTACCCATTCTATTGAAATTTATTCTTCAAATAATTATTTCCACAGGCAGCCCTGAAAGCCACTGGACACCTAATTTCTGCCAACTTTGAAAATCCTACCTGAGATATAGCAAGACTCATTTAAAAAAATAAAAAGTAACAAAGTAAATGTTTTTGCAAAATGGGCATATGCTATTAAGATTGATGTAACTGTATTCATTCATCTGACATTCTGAAATTGCAAGCACATACAGGTCAATTTAAGCTGTATCTTTCATTGGTTCTTTACAAATAGATCCTATGCTTGTGTTGATATGCAATGAAGAATACAACTATAAACATCAGGCTGCAGAATTAGCAGCTTGAAGAAGCTGCTGTAACTGTTATGCAGAATCAGGTAGCTGTTATAAAGTGTGTGCAGGAGTTAGTAAAAGGAAGAAATGTCAGTTTCTATTGGGATGGAAATAGGAAATTAAATAATTCAGATAAATGAATTTCTTTCTCTGATTCTGCCTGCAGCTTCAGCTAAAAGACCTGGACACTAAACAAGAGTTGGGCTTTCACACTGAAGCCCCATGTCTATTTGGAGAAGATGGATCTGAGACTGTGACAGAGCTTGCTGCAGTCAGGCCAGACCAGCCACCACTGAGGGGTATGCTACTGAAATGAAAAATAAATACATGAGCAAATGCACACACACAGAATTGTAAAATGCCTAATAGGATCTACACAAGGCACAAGATTGCAAAGCATTTTATATATATTTAAAAAACACTCAAAATTGCTTTTAACTATTAATTCAAGAAAGTGTGGGATCACTGAATCACTAGGTCGGAAGAGACCTTCAAGATCATGGAGCCCAACCCATGCCCTAACACCTCAA